AAGAAAAAGAAGTTCATCTGGACAGAGCAGGCGGAGCAGTCCTTTCAGGCACTCAAGCGTCTCTTCGCGTCGGAAGAGCAGCTGCTTCATGTCAACCCCAGCAGGCCGATGAGGGTGGAGACAGACGCTCGGACAGAGCCGTAGGAGCAGTCCTGCTGCAGAAAGACCCGCAGGGGGTTTGGAGGCCGGGAGCGTTTTACTCAAGGAAGCTCAGCAAGTCCGAACAGAACTACACCATCTGGGACAGGGAGTTGCTGGCCATTCATGCAGCGTTCAAAGCGTGGAGGCACTTCCTGATCGGCGCCAAGCACACGGTGCAGGTCTGCACGGACCACAAGAATCTAGAGCACTGGCGCACGGCACAGTTCCTGAACCAGAGGCAGATACGTTGGGCTGAGTTCTTTGCGAATTTCGACTTCCGAATAGAGTATGTCCCGGGGGACACCAACATCATGGCGGATGCTCTCTCCCGTAAGCCACAGTATCTGGAGGAGGCAACGCCAGCGGCCGCCATGCACATCTTCGCACCGACAGTGTGGGCGTGCGCGGCGGCGACAGTTGACCTGGATGCGGTGCGACGAGCGTTGCAGGATGACTCCTTCGCGCAAGCAAAGATGGCAGAGGTGCACAGGGGCACGGCAGCGACCGACGAGTTCCAGCTGCGAGATGGTTTGCTCATCCGTAAGGGGCCATCTACGTGCCGGGAGACGAACTTCGCGCCAAGGTACTGCAGCAGCTGCACGACGCGCCCACTGCCGGGCACTTTGGCAAGGAGAAGACGGTGGAATTAGTAGCCAGAGACTTCTGGTGGCCCGGAATGAGAGGGGAAGTCGCGGACTACGTGGCGAGGTGTGACACCTGCCAGAGGTCCAAACCAGTGCACAGACCGCCGGCCGGACTGCTGGAACCGCTGCAAACTCCGTTCGAGCCATGGGAGAGAGTGGCCCTGGACTTTGTCACGGATCTGCCCAGCTCGAGGGGCAAGACGGCTGTGCTGGTGGTGGTGGATTTGTTCTCCAAGATGGCACATTTCATTCCGTGCGCGAAGGTGGCCACGGCGGAACAAACCGCCAAACTGTTCATAGACCACGTGTTCAAGGTTCACGGTCTGCCGCGGTCTATTCTGTCCGACCGAGGGCGACAGTTCATCTCAAACTTCTGGCAGAGGCTGATGGGCTTCCTGAACGTCAAGATCAACCTGGCGTCGGCTAGACACCCGCAGACCAACGGGCAAGCGGAGCGGGTCAATGCCATCATGCAGCAGTACCTGAGATGTTATGCGAATCAACAGCCTGCGACGTGGGTGGATTACCTGCCTCTCGCCGAGTTCGCCTACAACAACACGAAGCACGTGTCCACGGGGGTCACGCCGTTCTTCGCCAACAACGGGAGGCACCCTAGAACCTTCCCGGGACTGGAAAGAATGGGGGAGGGGGAGCCGCAGACAGCAGATGCGTTCGCGTCGGAGTTGCAGGAGGTCCACGATCAGCTGCGGCGGCACCTGGAGCTGGCTAAACACGCATACAAGGTACAAGCGGACAAACACAGAAGGGTTGGCGAAGAGATCCATGTGGGAGACTGGGTCTGGTTAGCAGCCCACGCAGTGCCGGCCAGGTCGTTGGCGAAGAAGAAACTAGGGCATAAACAACTGGGGCCCTACCAAGTCGACGAACAGGTCAACCCGGTGGCTTTCAGGCTGGCTCTTCCGGAGGGTTCCAGAATGCATCCGGTGTTCCACAGATCGGTGCTCACTCCCTACAAGGCACCTCACAGGTTTCAGGAACCAGGAACGGCACCGGGTCCGCTCCGAGAGAGAACCGGGCAAGGGGGAGTGGCACAGGAGGAGCGCATCAACGAAGTCACGGAGATTTTGGACTCCAGATGGGGGGAAGAGGGGGTAGAATACCTTCTCGCCAAGGAGGGCACCCCGGCCAGTGCCAACAGCTGGGTGCCGGGCTACGCTTTAGACGAACCTCTGCTCAAAGAAGAGTTTCATGCCCTCTTCCCACATAGGCCAATGCCAGCAGACTTTTCGACGACTGGCTTTTCACGCCCACGCTTTCAGCCAGCACGTTCCGGGGTTCGACTCGGACGATGAACCGACACGAGACGACCGTTCCCCGGAGGGTCACCCTCGGGATCTGCTTCAGAACCCTCGTATTGGTGGGATGATCGACCAGAGGAGCAGTTCCGCAGAAGGTGGCTGGAGGGTCCAGGACGAGCAACGTCTCCAGAAGGCAACGAGGGAGACGGACATGGACGTTTTCGGGGACGACCCGGGTTTCGAGCACGGCGGCACAGAGATGGAAGCGGAGGTGACCGTCGTCAACGAGAGCAGGGAGGAAGAACCGGAAGACTTCGGATGGCGGCCCGCCACGGGAAGCGAACTGTATCCGACATTAGTACCCCTGACACGGCAGCACCCACAACCCGCACCGGGAGGTGGGGGGGGGGGAAGAGGGGGCTTCGAGGGGGGGATGGATGTCAGGGGTTCAGGAGCAGAGGCAAGGGCAAGGGAGGAAACAGAGAGCGAGGGAGAGGAGGCAGAAGAAAAGATGAGTGATGACGACGACCCGAGATCTCCGAGTCTTTCCAGTGAATCAGAAGATTCACAGAAAGGAGCACCAGTGGCCAGGGCAAGGGGGGAGCCTAGGGGGACACCCCAGGAAGAAAGAGCCAGAGGGGACTCAGAGGGGAGCAGTTGGAAATCAGGACCAGCGTCACCGCCAGAGAGCAGGGAAGAGGAAGGGCGCCAGGGATCAAGCGCTGGCAGCTCACAACAGGGGGGAGGGCACGAGTCAGGAGTGGCCACACCTCCATCGGGGAGCGAAGAAACGGTCAGACGGAAGGTGGAAGGTTGGGCGCGCGTGCCAAGTTCAAATGCACAGGAAAGTGGCGCAGTAGGCAGCCCGGAAGGGAGCCAGGTCCTAAAGCCCGCCGAAAGGAGGGAGAAGAGTCAGGGGGGTCAGCGTCAGCGTCAGAGGAATCCCGGAAGGAAGAGACCCCGGGGGGCAGAGGGACCCAGAGAAGAACAGTCAGGCGGAAAAGGTGGAGCAAGGCTAGGATATTAAGTTGGTGTACAAGGGCGGAGACTCAGATGGAGCTTCGCCGATCTAACCATGAGACGTAGAGTTGCACGCAGCAGCTTGAGAATGGAAACTGTAACTCAATAAAGACTTTTATTTAATGATCGCTGGCTAGCGTGATCCTCTGTGAGCTAGGATCTGGAAGCAGCTCTGACAGTATGTAACCCGAGGAACCACTGTATTAAACTTCTTCTTAAAAAAAAATAATCTTTAGACCCAGCCAATACAGCCAACTATCGCCCAGTCTCAAATCTTCCATTCTTTCGCAAGGTGATTGAGTGGGTGGTTGCCGAACAACTCCAGGGAAGCCTGGAAGATGTGGACCATTTGGATCTCTTCCAGTTGGGATTCAGGCCTCATCATGCGACTGAAACAGACCGGGGCACGCTGGTCGATGATCTCCGGCGGGCTAGGGACAAAGGTGAGAGCTGTTTCCTAGTTCTGCTGGATCTTTCAGAGGCTTTTGACACCATCGGCCATAACATTCTTCTGGACCGTCTAGAGGGGCTGGGAGCTAGAGGCACTGTTATACACTGGGCCGTGTTCAGAAAGTGGTGTTGGGGAATGAGTGTTCAGACCCCTGAGCTCTCACTTCTGGGGTGCCTCAGGGTTCCGTCCTCTCCCCATGCTATTCAACATCTACATGAAGCCGCTGTGAGGGGGTTTGGGCTGGGTGTTCATCAGTATGCGGATACCCAGCTCAACCTCTCTTTCAAATCAGAACCAGTGAAGATGGTGGAAGTCCTGTGTGAGTGTCTGGAGGCGGTTGGGGGATGGATGGCGGCTAACATATTAAAGTTGAATGCTGATAAGGCAGATGTCCTGTTTTGGGGGGCCAGGAGGCAGGCAGGTGTGGAGGACTCCCTAGTCCTGAATGGGGTAACTGTGCCCGTAAAGGACCAGGTGCGCAGACTGGGAGTCATTTTGGACTCATAGCTGTCCATGGAGGCACAGGTCAATTCTGTGTCCAGGGCAGCTGTTTACCAGCTCCATCTGGTACGCAGGCTGAGACCCTATCTGCCCGCAGACTGTCTTGCCAGAGTAGTGCATGCTCCAGTTATCTCCTGCTTGGACTACTGCAATGTGCTCTACGTGGGGCTACCTTCGAAGGTGATCCGGAAACAACAACTAATCCAGAATGCGGCAGCTAGACTGGTGACGGGAGGAGAGTCTCCACCCCCCATCGATCTGCCTGGACATGGAGGTCCAGTACCAAGAGCCTTCTAGCAGTTCCCTCACTGTGAGAAGCGAAGTTACAGGGAACCAGGCAGAGGGCCTTCTCGGTAGTGGTGCCCTCCCTGTGGAATACCTTCCCACCAGATGTCAAAGGAAAAAACAGCCACCAGACTTTAAAAGACATCTGAAGGCTGTCCTGTTTAGGGAAGCTTTTAATAACTGAAGGACTATTGTATTTCAATATTTTGTTGGAAGCCACCAAGATTGGCGGGGGAAATCCAGCCAGATGGGCGTGGTACAAATAAAAAATATTATTATTATTGAAATTCTTTTCTGTACATCCAGAGACTTGACAATCATCTTCAATTCCCAGGAAATCTGGGAAACTTGAGTGGACAACTCCATACATTTATATGGTTTCCCGCCTGTGTGAATTATCTTATGAATATTAAGGTCTCCACTCCCTCTCAAGCTTTTTCCATGTTTCATAAATCTAGTTTTCCCTATGTGAGTTAGCGGGTGTTTCCTAAGGTTCCACATTGACTTAAGCTTCTCCCCTTTGGGAGTTTGCCAGTGTAGGTTTATCCTCCCTGTTGAAGCTCTTCCCACATTCAATACGTTCCAATGGTTTCTCCCCTATATAAGTTAGTTGCTGTATTCTAAGTGCTCTACTTTGCTGCAACTCCTTCCACATGCCATACATTAAAATGGTTTCTTCCCCATGTGTTAGTTGGTGTCTTATAAGGTGTCCATTTTGACTGAAGCTCTTTCTACATTCAATACATTCAAATGGTTTCTCCCCTGTGTGAGTTTGTTGATGCCTTCTAAGTGTTCCATTTTGACTAAAGCACTTTCCACATTCAATACATTCAAATGGTTTCTCCCCTGTGTGAGTTCGTTGGTGTCTTCTAAGGTGTCCATATCGACTGAAGCTCTTTCCACATTCAATACATTCAAATGGTTTCTCCCCTGTGTGAGTTCGTTGATGCCTTCTAAGTGTTCCATTTTGACTGAAGCACTTTCCACATTCAGTACATTCAAATGGTTTCTCCCCCGTGTGAGTTTGTAGGTGTCTTCTAAGGTGTCCACTTTCACCGAAGCTCTTTCCACATTCAATACATTTAAATGATGTCTCCCCTGTGTGAGTTCGGTGGTGTACTCTAAGTTCTCCACTTTCACTGAAGCTCTTTCCACATTCAATACATTTAAATGGTTTCTCGCCCGTGTGAGTTCATTGGTGTATTCTAAGTGTTCCATTTTGACTGAAGCACTTTCCACATTCAGTACATTTAAATGGTTTCTCCCCATGTGATTTTTTTGGTGTTTTCTAAGGTGTCCACTTTCACTGAAGCTCTTTCCACATTCAATACATTTAAATGGTTTCTCCCCTGTGTGAGTTCGTTGGTGTATTCTAAGGTTTCCATATCGACTGAAGCTATTTCCACATTCAATACATTTAAATGGTTTCTCCCGCATGTGAGTTCGTTGATGATTTCTAAGGTTTCCAATTACACTGAAGCGCTTTCCACATTCAGTACATTTAAATGGTTTCTCCCCCGTATGAGTTAGTTGATGGCTTCTAAGGTGTCCATTTTGACTGAAGCTCTTTCCACATTCAATACATTTAAATGGTTTCTCTCCTGTGTGAGTTCGTTGGTGTATTCTAAGGTGTCCATATTGACTGAAGCTCTTTCCACATTCAATACATTTAAATGGTGTCTCCCCTGTGTGAGTTTGTTCGTGTATTCTAAGTGTTCCATTTCGACTGAAGCTTTTTCCACATTCAATACATTCAAATGGTTTCTCCCCCGTGTGAATTCGTTGGTGTCTTCTAAGGTTTCCACTTTCACTGAAGCTCTTTCCACATTCAGTACATTCAAATGGTTTCTCCCCCGTGTGAGTTCGGTGGTGTACTCTAAGGTCTCCACTTTCACTGAAGCTCTTTCCACATTCAGTACATTTAAATGGTTTCTCCCCCGTGTGAGTAAGTTGATGGCTTCTAAGGTGTCCATTGTGACTGAAGCTCCTTCCACATTCAATACATTTAAATGGTTTCTCCCCTGTGTGAGTTCGTTGGTGTATTCTAAGATGTTCACTTCTACTGAAGCACTTTCCACATTCAATACATTTAAATGGTTTCTCCCCCGTGTGAGTTTGTTGGTGTTTTCTTAGTGCTCCACTTTCATTGAAGCTCTTTCCACATTCAATACATTTAAATGGTTTCTCCCCTGTGTGAGTTCGTTGGTGCATTCTAAGTGTTCCATATCGACTGAAGCACTTTCCACATTCAATACATTTAAATGGTTTCTCCCCTGTGTGAGTTAGTTGGTGTATTCTAAGTGTTCCATATCGACTGAAGCACTTTCCACATTCAATACATTCAAATGGTTTCTCTCCCGTGTGAGTTCGTTGATGATTTCTAAGGTTTCCAATTACACTGAAGCGCTTTCCACATTCAATACATTCAAATGGTTTCTCCCCCGTGTGAGTTCGTTGGTGTATTCTAAGGTGTTCACTTCTACTGAAGCTCTTTCCACATTCTATACATTTAAAAGGTTTCTCCCCCGTGTGAGTTCGTTGATGTTTTCTTAGTGCTCTACTTTCACTGAAGCCCTTTCCACATTCAATACATTTAAATGGTTTCTCCCCCGTGTGAGTTCGTTGGTGTATTCTAAGCTTTTCATTTCGACTGAAGCTCTTTCCACATTCAATACATTCAAATGGTTTATCCACTGTGTGAGTTCGTTGATGTTTTCTAAGAGTTCCATTTTCCCTGAATCTCTTTCGATAGTCAGTACATTTAAATGGTTTCTCCTCTATGTGAATTCGTTGGTGTGTCCTCAGTCTTCCACTTTGACTAAAAGACATCCCGCATTCCATGCATTTAAATTGTTTCTTTGTTCTTCCCAATGAATTCACAGATGGCTCCATAGAATTCTGGCCATCATCTTCCTCACCTGTTTGGGAGTGGGGGAGGGGGAAGAGAATCCTGTTAAGACTTTCAAGAAAGCATAGCAAAGGCTCTAGAAAAAATGGGAAACTTTGGAAGGGTCTCAGGTTTTGCTTTGAATAAAGTAAAAATGAAACTAATGGTAAAAAACATGGGAGATCAAGAGAAAAAAGAACTGGTAGAATAATTTGGATTACAAATTGTAAAAAAAGTGAAATATTTAGGAATACAAATAACAATGAAAAATATAAATTTGTTTGAAGATAATTATAAAAAAAATTGGGAAGAAACAAAAAGAGAAATGGAATTTTGGACAAGATTGAATTTAACACTCTGGGGTAGAATTTCAGCTATTAAAATGAATATTTTACCAAAAATCCTGTTCCTTTTTCAAATGATTCCCATAATAGGTAAAGATGATTGTTTTAAAAAATGGAAAACGGACCTAACAAAGTTTATATGGCAGGGCAAAAAGCCACGGATCAAACATAAATTATTAACTGACATAAAAGAGAGGCGAGGTTTCGGACTCCCAGACCTGAGACTATACTACGATGCGGCATGCTTTACTTGGATCAAGGATTGGATCAAATTGGATAACAGTGACATTTTGGACTTGGAGGGATGGAACAACAGATATGGTTGGCATGCCTATCTAATTTATAACAAAGTGGCAGTACATAAAAGAATTTCTAAGCCACATAATTAGAAATGCATTATATGTCAGAGGCTTAGTGCTGTCCAGCTGGCCATAGATAAGACTCCGGGCTCCCAGCCAGTTTCAAACAATTGATTTATTTGACAAAGTTCAAACGTACATCTGCAGCGTTTCCATTAGCCTCCTTCCCCTTGTGCGCAGTTGCTCCCTCTAATGTTACTTCCTCCTTTTCCGCACCAAGCATGCAATTCTGCGAAAACTCCTCCCCTTACTTCCTCTGTATACAGCATGACTTGTCCCCGGCTCATCCTCCTCCCCCTCTACGTCAGACTGACTGTCAGACGACAAGCTGCTGATAATCTCTTTAGGCTCTCTATAACTGCTGGTTTCTGTCCTTTCATCTTTTCCCGTTTGCCTCTCCCTGACATTATACAAGGTCTGGGTGAGACATAGAAGGTTGTTAGAACCGAAAACCCCATGGTGGGTCTCCCCGTTAGAAGTTATATCGGTTAAAATGAAAAATACTATAGGAAGAATGGCGACATACCAGCAGCTCCTAAAGGAAGAACAGGGCCAATTAAAACTGAGACCATATGAAGAGGTGACCCAATACTGTACTACATGGTTACAATATCACCAAATTGCACATATATTTAATCAGGATAAAATAATAGGATTTGAAAAAGAAGAATCAAAATTACAAAAAGTATTATTACAAAACTCAAAAAATAATATATCCAAAATGTATAATTTATTATTAGAATGGGAATTAAAGGATGAAGAAGTAAAAGAAGTTATGATCAAATGGGCATGTGATATAGGATATGTAATTCGGCTGGACCAATGGGAAAAATTATGGAAATATGATATTAAATTCACGGCATGTTATACAATAAGAGAAAATTTTATGAAAATGGCGTACCAATGGTACTTAACTCTGGTAAAACTGGCTAAAATTTACAAATTAAAATCGAATACCTGTTGGAGATGTAAAAAAGAAATAGGAACAATGTTTCACGTGTGGTGGGAATGCCGACCTATCAAACAATTCTGGAACGAAATTTATGAAGAACTCAAAAATATGTTTAAAATATCTTTCGGTAAAAAACCGGAGGCATTCCTTTTAGGTTTAATTACAAATGATATCCCCAACAATCAAAGGAAAGTATTCTTTTATGCAACAACAGCTTATAGCAAAAAACTGGAAAGGGAGAAAAATTCCATCAATGAAAGATTGGCAAATTAAATTTTGTGAATACATAAATCTGGCAAGACTCACAGCATTCATAAGGGGACAATTGGACCAGAACTAATTAAAAGAATGGGGTTGTGCTAAAGAGTATATGAAAAAACATTGTTCTGGAGTAAGTATATTGGTATGTAATGAATGGTGCTTTACAGGGTTAAAGGGGGAAAAATATGGTGTTAAAAAAAAGTACAAAGATGGATGTAATCTAATCAGACACAATATAGTAAGAGTAAAATTTCTGAGGTCTTAGAACAAAGGAAGGTAGTCAATATGTGTATATGTACGTAATGATATGTTTTTTTTCTGTAGATGTGTGCTTTTTCGTTTTTGTTTAGTGTTGTTTTGTTTCCTTTGCTTTTTTTGCTTTTTTTCTGTGTTTTTTTTGCATGTTCTGTTCTTTTTTGTTTGTATAGTATTATTTTGGATTCAATGTTTGTAATTTTTGTTATGATTATGCATTGGGGGGGGGGAAGACTTTCAAGAAAGACAAGAAAGGAACTGAACACATTTCAGTCCTAATATGCACCTTCTCTTATTTAAACACTGTCTCCTTTCTCCACTGTCCTCTCTATGTTAGGAATGCAGGTGAGATAATAGCAAGAAAAACACATGATCACTCCATTCACACTTAATAAACTGCATTATTTTATAATCTGTGGTGGAATTGGCTTCTTAGACAAGACGAACGCCTCGCAAGACGGAAAACCAGCTAGACGAAAGGGTTTTCCGTTTTGGAGGCGCTTCGCAAAACGAATTTCCCTATGGGGCTGCTTCGCAAGACGAAAAAATCTTGTGCATCCCCGCGGGTTTTTCCGCCCCCCCCATTTCCTAAGGCACTAAGCTGCCTATCAGCCGTTCCGCTGATAACCCGCTTAACAGCTGATCGCTGAAAGCCGCTAGACCGCTGTAGCGCTAATCCGCTAAGCTGTCAATGGGCTTGCTTCGCAAGACAAAAAAACCGCTAGACGAAGAGAATCGCGGAACGGATTCTTTTCGTCTTGCGAGGCACCACTGTATTTCTCTTTGTCCAGGGAGGAAAGGATCACAGGCTCAAGTAGCAGTCTCTCCTATGACTAAGAAGTCAAACTTTCGTGTTACTGTGCCACATGTAACTGTAAAAATATTGCAATATCTTAGAACAGGCACCCCCAAACTTGGCCCTCCAGATGTTTTGGGACTACAATTCCCATCAGCCCTGACCACTGTTCCTGTTAGCTAGGGATGATGGACGTTGTAGTCCTAAAACACCTGGAGGGCCAAGTTAGGGGATGCCTGTTTCAGAACATAAGAAGAGCCTGCTCGATTGGGCAAAGGCCCACCTAGTCCAGCATCCTATTCTCACAGTGGCCAACTAAATGCCTGTGGGAAACCAGCAAGCAGGATTTGAGTACAAGAGCCCTCTGCCTTCCTGTGCTTTCCAGGAAATAGTATCAAGAAGCATCAGTCTAATCCTCTCTTTCAAGCTATCCAAGGGACATAATCAAGGATTAAAAATAAATTATTAACAGATGTACGAGAGAGAGGAGGTTTTGCCCTGCCGGGTTTGAAACTTTATTATGAAACATCCTGTATCTGCTAGAACCGGGAATGGATTACATTGGAAAACACAGATACTGTTTTTTAGATCTAGAAGGACACGAATAATGGATAGAATTCATATTTATGGTAGGAAAAGGCCAGGGTGCATAGAGCTTTTAAGAATCATTTAGTCAGAAAATCAATTTGTAGGGTATGGGAGAAGCATAAAAATTTGCTTGAGTAAAAAACACCCTGGTGGCTTTCTCCCTTGGAAGCAATATCTCTGAAAAAAATTGAATATGAGAAGTAACCTACTGAAATTAAAAGATTTTGAAGAGATAAGGAAAGCTGTAACTCACTGGTTACAGTACCATCAACTAAACAATATCTTAAAGATAGACAAAAAGAAAGGTTTAATTATGAGACATCACAATTTCAAAAAGAACTCTTAGGAAGTAACATAAAAAGATCTGTCTAAAAGGTATAACTTGCTCCTAGAACGGTATACAAAGGATGAACAGGTTAAATCAGTTATGACTAAATGGGAAAGGGATTTAGGATATAACATACAAATGGCAGATTGGGAGAGGCTTTGGAAAACAAATCTGAAATTCACAGCTTGCTGTTCATTGAAAGAAAACTACATGAAAATGATGTACTGGTGGTATATGACTCCTAGTAAGTTCAAATATCTGCTGGAAATGTAAAGAAAAAGTGGGTACCTTTTGTTATATGTGGTGGTCATGTAAGATAACAGTATCATTTGGGGAAATGGTATATAATGAATTAAAAAAAATGTTTAAAATAATGTTTGTTAAGAATGTAGAAGCATATTTATTTGGAATTACAGGTACTGAGATCGCAAAAGACCAGGAAAGACTATGTATGCGACAACAGCTGCACAGATGTTATTATCCCAACGATGGAAAGATGCAATAATCCCAACTAGGGAAGAATGTCAAGCCAAACTGCTGGACTCTGCCGAAATGGCAAAATTAGCCGTGAGACTCGGGAATCAAGAAAACAAGGACTTTAAAAAAGAATGGGGAAATTTTATAATTTACCTATGAGATTACTGCACGCAAATCAAAACGTTAGCTGGACTTTAGGAATCACTTGTAAATAAGTTTATGGACAATTTAGATAAATGAAAACTGTGGAGAATGTATCTATACAGTGGTACCTTGTGTTACGTAACCCGCTGGAACTTTTACGGGTTTCGCCACTCGCACGCGTAGAAGCACTCTATTGCGCCGCGTGCATGTGCAGAAGCGGTCCTCCGGTTTGCAAAAACCTCGGGATCCGTCTGGAGCTCCGGAACAGATCTGCTTGCAACCGGAGGTACCACTGTATGTAGTTTTGGAAAAATTAATATAAGGACCCATTAAAGGGATGGAGCGAAGTCATGTGATTCAGAGAATCTCATGAAATGGTTATATAAATGTCTTTGATATAAACTTGTATTTGTAAAAACCAATAAAAATATTTCAAAAAATGGAAGTCCATAGATAGACTATTCTTCTGTTGATTCATCATTTGCAAACCCAGAAATAGGTGTTCCTGTTTTTGAAGTTTGCCTCGGAAACCGAACGTGCTCCTGAGCTTCCATTTTTACTGTTGCGCAGCAAATTTAAGTGCCCCCCACCCTAATTAATGCTTTTTTTCATTCCGTTTTACCCTTGAGCAGCTAATTTAAGTCGTCTCCATCGTAATCAAGGTTTTTTTCATCCCATTTGTTCCCTTGCACAGCTGATTTAAGCTCCCCTGCCCCCATTTTTGACTGAAGCTTGTTTTTTGTTTTATGATTGATTTATTGATTGATTGACTGTGGAAGGGATAAAAGCTCCCCATTCAAACAATGACTATCATCAATGTAGGTACGAAATTTTTTTTTTTAATTTTTATCATCTACAATACTGTCTTATTTATTTTATGGTACAGAACATTGATTATTGTTTTCATTTTATGGATCAATGGTCTTGTTAGATAGTAAAATTCATGTTAAATTGCTGTTTTAGGGGTTGTTTTTAAAAGTCTGGAATGGATTAATCCATTTTGCATTACTTTCTACAGGACAGCACGCCTTGGTTTTGGAACGCTTTGGTTTTGGAAGACTTCTGGAACCGATTAAGTTTGAGACCCGAGGTACCACTGGAACTCCTAAGATTTAAAATCCTGGAGCGAGAAAATCTGCCCCCACTACTTTATGAAAGGGATTCAAGAAACAAAGAGCTGCTTTGGAGAAGGCCTCACCCCTTCCTTCTTCCTGTCAGGAACTTCCTTCCATTTGTCTCCTCTCCACCTTTTCCTCTTTCTCCCTCCACCTTCCATCTATCCCTGTCCCCATCTCCTCTCCCTTGGAACTCACCAGATTTCTCCAAGGGTCCTGGGAGGGAATGCTCAGAGGTTGTGGGGAGGGATGCGGGAGACAGCCTGACCAGGTCAGCCGTCCATCTTCCTCCTTCCATCCTGGCCAGGGTTGCAGGTTCAGTCTCAGCTAGGTTTGCAGGTTCAGCTTCCTGAGGAGCACAGAAGCCAGAGCAAGTTGCAGCTTCCTGGCAGGGAGGGAAGAAGAAGAAGCCATGGGAGTCTGAGAGCCCCTGGAGGGATTCTCCTGCCCAAGACATTCTGCTGCCCCTGAAGAAGCCCCAACTGGGCACCCCCTTCCCAAGAGCCCCCACCCATTTTCAAACACCTTTGGCAATTCCTTTCATCACCTCCTTTCCTTTTTTATTTTATTTTATTTTGTTTATTCAATCTTTATTGGTTTCAAATCAACACACACACACACACACACACACACACACACACACACCCCAAAAGCTTATAAAAAGGAAAAGAAACAAAACAAAAAAGCACAATACATTTCTTACAAAAAGAAATAGAACAATACATCACGAATGCACAAAATTATTCCAGCCATCAACTTCTGACTTCCTTGATATAGGTTATTTATTTTCTTAATTAGGTAAAGGTACCCTTGACCATTAGGTCCAGTCACGCATGATTTTGGGGTTGCAATGCTCATCTCGCTTTACTGGCCGAGGGAGCCGGCGTTTGTCTGCACTCAGCTTCCGGGTCATGTGACCAGCATGACTAAGCCACTTCTGGTGAACTAGAGCAGCGCACGGAAACACCGTTTACCTTCCCGCCGGAGCGGTACCTATTTACCTACTTGCACTTTTGACGTGCTTTCGAACTGCTAGGTTGGCAATTTTCTTAATTACTTGCCTCTGTTTTTCAATAAACTTTATCTTTGTTAAATCTTGTCTGAATTCTTTGTACCTTATTCAATTCTGAGTTATTCAAAGCATTTTAAAGTTTTTATAAGGGGACACTGTTCTTTTAAATATTGTCTATAGAGCTCCCATTTCCTTTTAAACTTTTGGGTCGATCGATTTCTTATCTTTTCCGTCATCTGTGCTACTTCTATATATTGAAGGATTTTTACTTGCCACTCCTCTTCTGATGGAATTTTATCTCCTTTCTATCCCTTGGCAATCAACATCCTCACTGCAGTTGTTGCACACAAAAAGACCCCTTCCCAAGAGCCCCTGCCCATTTTCAAACACCTTTGGCAATTCCTTTCACCTGCCTGTCCCACCTCCCTTCCTAAGGCTGGCATGGTATGCACATTAGTGGCCTGAGAGTAGACCCCATAGAACTTAAGAGTTCATCTGCAAAGGACTGCTCTGAATACATGGGTGGCCCTTGCATGGAGAAGAAGGAAGCCCCTTGCTTGCATCTGGACCCCCTGGGAGAGGCGGGGGATCCGCCCATCTCTCCCTCTGTCCTCCCTGACTCCTCCTCTGTCGTTCTGCCCTGCAAACACCCTTTGCTCTTGTTGCTCAGGGGAGAGAGGCAGGAAGAGCCTTCAAACCCATCCCTTTCCTCCTCTGCTGCCTTTTCTTGCAGCAGCCCCGTGAGAGGGGAAGGAGCTGCAGCACCTGGTTCACTTCATGGTTTACTGGGATTGTGAATGAACATGTCCTCTGCCTTCCATGCGGTGGGAGTGGGGTGGGTTAAAAGTGGTGAGGAGACCCCCCCTCCAGTCCTTTTGGGAAACAGGAGCTTTGTTCAGGAGTAAACAACTTAGATGGCAAGTTCACAAGAGAAGAACTTTGGAGCACTGCTTGCTCTTACTATGTGTTTGAACCTAGAGGACAACATACACGTTTACACCACAGGATTCCTTAAAGAGGGCTTTTTTTAAAATTCAAAGGCCATTTCTACAAAATGGAAGTATTCTGCTGGCAGTCCTGTATAGGAAAGTTTTCAATGCTTTAATTTTTTTGGTGTTTTTGTTGGAAGCCGCCCAGAGTGGCTGAGGCAACACAGTCAGATAGGGAGGGTGCAAGTAATGAATTCTTTATTCTTATTCTTATTCTTCCCAACTGTAGCAGGAACCCCCCCCCCAATCATTCTGCTTGTACAAACTTCATACACACACACACACACACACTACATACGCCACATTTCTGTTATAAATTCATAGAAAATCAACCATACATCGGATTTGCACTGTTCCATTTTTATTTTACTCCATATGACAAGAACTAACAAAGGGGGGTGGCTTAGTCCTGGTCAGCCAAAATCCCTCCACCATCTCAGCACATCTCAGCACATCTGCAGGAGCCCTGCCCAGATGATCCCAGACAGAAGGCAGTCAAGATCACAAAGAACTTGCATATGGGAGTGGATTCAGCATGGACTGAAACAAAGGACAATGATCAGATCTTCCCTCAGGGGGCAGGAAACTGCAAACTCCCCTTTGTCTCCTGGAAGTGACTCATGGGGAGGGGGGAAAGGAGGAACCAGCCAGGTGACAAGATACTCAGGTTACCACCAACTCCTCCCTCAACTCCTCCTTTCTGTAATATATGCATGATGTTTCTGGGGGGTGGGCTTGACCTAAAGGTAAAGGTAAAGGTACCCCTGCCCGTACGGGCCAGTCTTGCCAGACTCTGGGGTTGTGCGCCCATCTCACTCAAGAGGCCGGGGGCCAGCGCTGTCCGCAGACACTTCCGGGTCACGTGGCCAGCGTGACATCGCTGCTCTGGCGAGCCAGAGCCGCACACGGAAACGCCGTTTTTACCTTCCCGCTATAAAGCGGTCCCTATTTATCTACTTGCACCCGGGGGTGCTTTCGAACTGCTAGGTTGGCAGGCGCTGGGACCGAGCAACAGGAGCGCACCCTGCCGCGGGGATTCGAACCGCCGACCTTTCGATCGGCAAGCCCTAGGCACTGAGGCTTTTACCCACAGCACCACCCGCGTCCCTTTTGGGCTTGACCTAGAGGAGGGGAATTTCAAAAGTTTTTATAAGACCTGGAACACTATTTTTCTGGGTCTTTCCTCTCTCCTGCAAGTGAGGGGAACACCCTGATGCATCAGTTCAATAAAGGCCAAGCCTACAGGCTGCTGTTTTGCTCCAAGTTATCCTGGTTGGTGTCTTTGTTTTGTCCAAGGGAGCCCTCGGAATTTTCCGGTAACACTTCTAAGCCCATCCTACTATGCATGCTGGTCAGAGACTCTGTCCCAACCTCCCCCTTGAACACAACAGGGTTTTCCTAGTTCTACTGCTATTCTTTACATTCCTATACTGCCCTTCCTCCAAAGATCACAGGGCAGCTTACAAGAGAAAAACACAGAGATGCATAGCAGAGTAGGAAATAAAAACGACAACCCTCGCCCCCCCTCAATGCAGTTGTGAAGTCCATAGATTGTTTAATGAGCCAAACGCCTGGGAGAAGAGCAAGGCTTTCGCCTGTTGCCTAAAGATAAGGTCCTCCTCCGAGGGGCCTTCTGCTGGAGTATAGATATTAAATTTAAATTAATACTATTAAGGCGATCCTGGCCAGCAATGCCCACCCCTCTCCCCTCTCCCCCCTCCTTCCCTGCAACTCCCTTTGTACCAGATCCCTGCAGGAGGAAGCTTCTCCCCCCCCCCTTCAAGCCCCCTTTAAGAAAACAGCTCCCTTCCCTCCTCCCCCTCCCGGGGCTTCTCATCCTGGACCCCCTCGCAAAGCCCCTTCCCTCCTTCCCCGCCACTGGCTTTGCACTCACCCGAAATCCCGGGCGGCGGGGGCGGGAATGGGAATGGGAGTGGGAGGCAGGGAGTGAGGGCGCTTAATTAGGAGGCTTGATTAGGAAGAAGCCCCCTCCTCCGCCTCCGCCCTATGCAGCCCCCCTTCCCGCCTCCTTCCCTCCCTCCTTTGCAAGCCCGGATTTTATCTGTTGGTGAAGCCGGAAGTGGAGGCAACTCGGAGGAAGGAGAAATTTCTCCCCACGTTCAGCCTCATGTCTGTTATTTGATAATTGGGGGAAGGAAAACCTTATAGCACCCAACCAATGGGAAGGCGAGGGAGGGAACGTGTGCATAGGGAAAATAAGTTCATACATTGCCCCAGCTGGACTGTGGCTGCTTTGGACCCCCGCTTTTGCAAGAACGTATTGTCCTCAATAAGGGACGCAGCTGGAGTTGTGGTTTAAACCCCAGAGCCTAGGGCTTGTCAATCAGAAGGATGACAGTTTGAATCCCTGCAATGGGGTGAGCTCCCGTTGCTCTGTTTCTGCTCCTGCCAACCTAGCAATTCGAAAGCACAAAGTGCAAGAAGATAAAGAGGTACCTGTTGTAAACAAAATCTGCCCTTATTCCCTTATGGGGGACACAAGAGCCTTTACAGAGCCCTTTGCCGGTTCCAGGGGCGCCGACTTATAAAAAATATTGGGGGGGCCCATACCGGGGTCCTGCCCCGGGAAGTTTTCTAAGTTCCCCGCTGGGCGGGGCCGCTGCAGAAGGGTGAGTGGCGAGGGCGGGACGGGGCCACGCGCTCCTTTCCTTGGCTGCCCTCGTCGCGCGCCTTGGCTCCTGCGGCCGGCGAGGGGAGCCCGGGCCGCGCGCGGCTGCTACTGCTGCCGCCGCCTCTCCTGGGGGCGCCGCCTCCCCAGGCGGGAACGCTGCGGGTGCGCGAGGGAGGAGGGCGGCCCCCGGGGGCTGGGAGAGCCGGGCTGCCGTGGCCGAGAGGGCTGCTCTGCCGGGCGCCGCTGAATATAACTAATAACTTTCTTAAATTATCTGCCCCCCCAATAAAATTTTTGAGGGGCCTATGGGGGTCACGAAGAGTCGGACGCGACTAAACAACAACAATGCTCTGACAATTTGTCAGAAAGTTCTTCCTGATATTTAGTCAGGATTCTTTCTTGTAACTTGAATCCATTGCTTCGAGCCCTACCCTCCAGAGCAGGAGAAAACAAATTTGCTCTACCATCTTCCGGGTGATATCTAAAGATGGCTCTCGTATCTCCTCTCAGTCTCCTCTTTTCCAGGCTAAACATCCCCAGCTCCTTCAACCGTTCCTCACCAGGCTTGGTTTCCAAATCTTCTTGGTCGCCCTCCTCTGCACACATTCCAGCTTGTCAACATCCTCCTTAAATTGTGGCGCTCAGGACTGGACCCAAGACTCCAGATGTGGTCTGACCAAGGCAGAACAGAACAGGACTATGATTTCCCTTGATCTGGACCCTAGATTTCTGAGGATGCAGCCTAGAAGAGCGTTAGCTTTTGTTTTTGCTGATGTTGCATCAAACTGTTTCTTACCATTCCTTTCATGTTGTTTTGCTTGCTGGCTGCTTTGAATAGATGTTTGCCCAGGAAACCAACTTAGCAACTTAGCAACATTTTAATTAAAAATAAATAAATAAAGGGAGACAAGCTGGCATTCTTGAGAGAGGCAGGGCTCCCTTCTCAGTACGCTGGAGTCTGGCCAGATGCAACAACTTCCATGTGGGGCACCTGTCGTGCCATCCCCTCTCGCATAACACAGGTGGGATAACAGAAAGGTGCAGTAGCAGGAAGTTGGATGAAACTGAGGCAGCGACGCCCTGTCTCTCCTCTGACACAGTTCTGCTGCGATTCTCCTAACAGATGCTCAATAACAGGCTGGGTGTGCCACATGAGCTTTTACGGTTCAGATCAGAGCCGGGCATAACGAAAGGTAGAGCTGGGCTTCCACAGGTGGTGTGGACAGGTGAGAACATGAGCAGCGGGAAGGAAAAGAACCACAGGACTGTAGAGCTGGGAAGGGCCCCCCAGGGTTCATCTATTCCAGCCCCCCCCCCCCGCAACGTAGAAATCGCAGCTTAAAAAATCCCTAACAGATGGCCACCCAACCTCTGCTTTAAAAGCTCCAGTGAAGAAGAGACCACCATATTTTGGTTGAATGGCTCTTAGCAGCCAGAAATTTCTTCCTAAAGTTTAGCTGGAATCTTTGGAAAGGTGAGACTCTGGATACGAAATCTGGACCGTCCAGGGACTTGGGTTCCCCATCCCAAGCTGGAAGAATCCTGACTTAGGAGAGAAAGTGGGCGCTGCTGGGACTCATCTCCATTCTGGGCCCTGGGGTTGGAGGTCTCTGCCCCGAAGACCATCCAATCTTGGCTTAGGAGGGGGCAAACGAGATGGGGCAGAATCTGGGCAAAAAATAGCCTGACGGCCTTAAAGGAACCCCAAAGCCTGAGTCCCGACGGTGGAGAGATTTTGGGGGCAGTAGCGATAAGCGACCCCACCATCCCAAAAAAAATCCTTCCCACCAGCTGCACCAGGGAGCGTTTTGCGCGCAGTTGCATACTAGGAGAGATCAGGCACTCTGCACATGCCCAGACGCTCTCGGAATCGGCACCGAGCTGCTACTGCAACCACCACCCCCCCAGCAGCACCAAGGGATCCCGGGGCACCCCCCCACCCCACCCCGCTTCAACCACTAGGTGATGCTCCCCCTTCACTCACCGGGGCGGCTGCCGGCTGAGCCAGGGTGTGCATGGCTACGGCGGCGCTTCGGCCCGACGGGGCCCCCTGGGCGCGGCAGACCTGGCGCGGCTGCCGGCCGGAGAAAGAGAAAGCCAGGCGGGGGGCGGGGCCAGCCGGGCTCACCTGCCCGCCCTCGGCTCACCTGGGCCGGCGGAGGCTCCTCCCCCAGGGTGGGAAGCTTCTCCCAAGCGGCCCCCGTGCTGTCCCTGCCGTGGCCGAGAGGGCTGCTCTGCCGGGCGCCGCTGAATATAACTAATAACTTTCTTAAATTATTGGGGGGGCAGAGCCCCCCCAATAAAATTTTTGAGGGGACTCGGGCCCCCTCAGGCCCCATGGAGTCGGCGCCTATGGCCGGTTCTCCATCAGTAGGAGAAAATAACAGAGGCCAACCAGAGAATATTGAGAAGCAAAGCAGCTAGTAAGCCTGATCTTTATTGAACTGTTGCAACAGGGTGCTCCCCTCACATGCAGGAGGATGGAGGAGGACCCCGAACAAAGGTGTGCCTGCCCTTATATAGACCTTTTAAATTCCCTGCCTTGATCGTGGATGGAGAACTTGACTTGGCATGTGTAACAGAGACTTGGTAGGATGAAGCAGATGGACCTGTCCTTGCCGCTGCTTGTCCACCAGGTTCTCTTCTCAACCCAGTCATGTGGGCGAGCAGGTGGGTTGCAGTGATTTTTAGGAAATCATTAATTTGCACCAGGCGTCCTATTGGAAAGACCCAGTTCTCTGAGTGCATGTTCTTGAAATTGGACAATAGGGGCAGTACAGGATTCCTTTTGGTGTACCAACCACCCCGCTGCACCAAGGATTCCCTGCCCAAGCTGCTTCAGGTCGTGGCAGATGTTCTCCTGGAGACACCTAATTTGGTTGTCCTGGTGGATTTTAACATTCACGCCAACACAACCTTACAAGGGGCTGATTGGGACTTTGTGGAAAGCATGGCCTCCATGGGGCTGTCCCTGAATAAGTTTGGCCCAACTCAGTGTCGCAGACATTCCTTAGACCTGGTGTTCACCTCTATGGATGTTGGTGATCTGACACTAAGTAAAAGCGAAACTAAAGAAGTACCATGGTCAGATCACTTTCTGGTGCACCTGGACTTCTCCACAACCCTTCCCATCTGCAGGGAGGTGGGGCCGATTTGGATGGTCCCCCCCGCCACTTAATGGATCCAAATGGTTTCCAGAGAGTGGTAGGGGATGTTTTATCCCATGCTGATGGCCTTTCAGCTGATTCCCTGGTGCCCGGTTGGAATGTGGAGTTAACCAGGGCTATTGACTGTCTAGGGACGCGGGTGGCGCTGTGGGTAAAAGCCTCAGCACCTAGGGCTTGCCGATCGAAAGGTCGGCAGTTCGAATCCCTGCGGCGGGGTGTGCTCCCGCTGCTCGGTCCCAGCGCCTGCCAACCTAGCAGTTCGAAAGCACCCCCGGGTGCAAGTAGATAAATAGGGACCACTTACTAGCGGGAAGGTAAACAGCGTTCCGTGTGCTGTGCTGGCTCGCCAGATGCAGCTTGTCACGCTGGCCACGTGACCCGGAAGTGTCTTCGGACAGCGCTGGCCCCCGGCCTATAGAGTGAGATGGGCGCACAACCCTAGAGTCTGTCAAGACTGGCCCGTACGAGCAGGGGTACCTTTACCTTATTGACTATCTAGCTCTGAAGCGCCCTCTCCGATTGCATGGAGCCTGGACAGCCCCATGGTTTTCCATGATCTGAGGGCAATGAGATAGCTAGAGCACCAGTGGCAGAAACCTCATTCTGAATCTGACCGGACACGGGTTAGAGCTCAACATCAAGCCTACCAAATTGCGATAGCAAAGGTGAATAAAACCTTCTTCACCCCCTCTCTTGCATCTGCAGAAAACAGCAGCAGGAGACTGTTTCAGGTGGTTTGCAATTTAATACAACCAACTCTCCAATGGGGCCCCGTATGGGCCACATGATCGCCTGCAATGATTTTGCAAAGTTTTTTTGCAGAAAAGACACTCAGATTCAGAGAGGTAGACTCCCCCGTGGGAGCAGGGCGTGGGCTGGTGAGTGCTAGAGTCCTGTCTAGTCAAGTTGCGTGGGATCAATTCCAATCTGTTATGTCCGAGGATGTGGACAGGCTGCTTGGACGAGTGAAACCAACCACCTGTCTCCTTGATCCTTGCCCATCCTGGCTCATAAAAGCTAGCCAGGAAGGGCTGGGTGATGGGCTCTGTGGGGTGGTGAATGCTTCTCTCTGTGAAGTAGCCTTCCCAGACACACTCAAAGAGGCAGTTACAGTGGTACCTCTGATTAAGAACTTAATTCGTTCTGGAGGTCTGTTCTTAACGTGAAACTGTTCTTAACCTGAAGCACCACTTTAGCTAATCGAGCCTCCTGCTGCCGCTGTACAATTTCTGTTCTCATCCTGAAGCAAAGTTCTTAACCTGAGGTAACACTCTATGGCAAGGTGATTGATTGATTGATTGATTGATTGATTGGGTGGTTGCTGAAGATGTGGACCATTTGGATCCCTTCCAGTTGGGATTCAGGCCTCTTCATGGGACTGAAACTGACCTGGGCACATCGGTCAATGATCTCCGGTGGGCTAGGGACAAAGGTGAGAGCTGTTTCATAGTTCTGCTGGATCTTTCAGAGGCATTTGACACCATCAGCCATAACATCCTTCTGGACCGTCTAGAGGGGCTGGGAGCTAGAGGCACTGTTATACAGTGGTTCCGCTCCTTCCTCTTGGGCCGTGTTCAGAAAGTGGTGTTGGGGGATGAGTGGTGTTGGGGGATGAGTGTTCAGATCCCTGAGCTCTCACTTGTGGGGTGCCTCAGGGTTCCGTCCTCTCCCCATGCTTTTCAACATCTACATGAAGCCGCTGGGAGAGATCATCAGGGTGTTTGTGCTGGGTGTTCATCAGTATGTGGATACCCAGCTCTACCTCTCTTTCAAATCAGAACCAGTGAAGATGGTGAAGGTCCTGTGTGAATTCCTGGAGGTGATTGGATGGATGGCAGCTAACATATTAAAGTTGAATCCCGACAAGGCAGGTGTCCTGTTTTGGGGGGACAGAAGGCAGGCAGGTGTGGAGGACTCCCTGGTCCTGAATGGGGTAACTGTACCCCTAAAGGACCAGGTGCGCAGCCTGGGAGTCATTATGGACTTGCAGCTGTCCATGGAGGCACAGGTCAATTCTGTGTCCAGGGCAGCTGTTTACCAGCTCCATCTGGTACGCAGGCTGAGACCCTATCTGCCTGAAGACTGTTTTGCCAGACTAGTGCATGCTGCAGTTATCTCCCACTTGCACTACTGCAATGCATTCTACGTGGGGCTACCTTTGAAGGTAATCCAGAAACAACAACTAATCCAGAATGCGGCAGCTAGACTGGTGACGGGAGGAGAGTCTTCACCCCCATCGTTCTGCCTGGACATGGATGTCCAGTACCAAGAGCCTGCTGGCGGTTCCCTCACTGAGAGAAGCGAAGTTACAGGGAACCAGATAGAGGGCCTTCTCAGAAGTGGTGCCCTCCCTGTGGAATACCTTCCCACCAGATGTCAAAGGAAAAAACAGCCACCAGACTTTAAAAGACATCTGAAGGTTGCCCTGTTTAGGGAAACTTTTAATATCTGAAGGACTATTGTATTTCAATGTTTTGTTGGAAGCCACCCAGAGTGGCTGGGGAAATCCAGCCAGATGGGCGTGGTACAAATAAAAAATATTATTATTATTGAAAACAAACACAAATTATTTTCTGCACATCCAGAGACTTGACAATCATCTTCACTTCCCAGGAAATCTGGGAAACCTGAGCGGAAAACTCCATACATTTATATGGTTTCCCACCTGTGTAAATTATCTTATGAATATTAAGGTTTCCACTCCCTCTGAAGCCTTTTCCACATTTCATAAATCTGGTTTTCCCCATGTGAGTTAGCAGAAGTTTCCTAAGGTTTCATATTGAGTTAAGCTTCTCCCATGTGCGAGTTCGCCAGTGTAATGTAAGTTTATCCTTACAGTTGAAGCTCATCTCACATTCAATACGTTCCAATGGTTTCTCCCCCGTATAAGTTAGTTGGTGTACTCTAAGTGCTCTACTGCAGCTGAAGTTGGTGTCTTATAAGGTGTCGATATGGACTGAAGCTTTCCACATTCTTTCCACATTCAGTACATTTAAATGGTTTCTCCTGTGTGAGTTTTTTGGTGTTTTCCAAGTGTTCCGTTTTGACTGAAACACTTTCCACATTCAATACATGCAAATGGTTTCTCCCCCGTGTGAGTTCGTTTGTGTATTCTAAGGTGTCCACTTCTACTGAAGCTCTTTCCACATTCAATACATTTGAATGGTTTCTCCTTTGTGTGTTAGTTGATGTATTCTAAGTGCTCCACTTTGACTGAAGTTGTTTCCACATTCAATACATTGAAATGGTTTCTCCCCCGTGTGAAAACAAAAAAAATTCCTTCCAGTAGCACCTTAAAGACCAACTAAGTTAGTTCTTGGTATGAGCTTTCGTTTGCATGCACACTTCTTCAGATACACTGAAACAGAAGTTGCCAGATCCTTCTATATAGTGAGAAGGTGGGGAGGGGTATTACTCAGAAGGGTGGTGGGAATGGGTGATTGGCAGATGGCTGTGATGAGCCTGTTGACGACTTTTAACGACTGCAATAGGTCTTACAGGAAAGAGTAAGGGGTGAGAAGGTGAAAAATGGCTTTGTCATGTATAATGAGATAAGAATCCAATGTCTTTGTTCAGACCAGGTTTCTCCATGGTTTTAAGTTTGGTAATGAGATGCAATTCAGCAGCTTCTCTTTCCAGTCTATTTCTGAAATTCCTTTGTAGTAAAACAGCTACTTTGAGATCTTGTATAGAATGTCCTGGGAGATTGAAGTGTTCTCCTACTGGTTTCTCTGTCTTCTCTGTGGGGTTTGGAACTTAATAGGTTAAGTTGTTCCCATGATGCCTCAGCATTCTGACGTCAGCTTTCGAAGCTGGGAGGAGTTTCTCTTCTTCCTCTCTGGTTCTTTGAGAGGGAAGGACGCAGTTTGTCATGGCTGCGGTGAGTCCAGGAGTTTTCTGGGGAATGTCGGAATAAAGGACTGAAATAGACAAACCTGGACTCTGTGTGTGTTTGTCGGAAGCTAAATGGAAGCTACGTGACAGTTTTGACGCTGTGCTGACTCTGCTGAGGCGTGACTGAGAGCTCGGGGCAGATCGCGCTGAGTGGAAGCGTGCCGGGCGGCCATAAAGAGCTAATTGGGGATCGCAATTCAATTAGCGGGGGTCACGCTCTAATCAATAAATCGTTAACAGGTTATGGGTGCTTATTTACCGCTCGTAAAACTGTCACTGGAGGCTGCCGGAATGCGTTTGAAGTCTGTGGTCTGAAGCAGAGACGCTGGCAGGAGTTTTTGCCTGCTGAATAAGAGGCAAGAGAGAGCTGTGTTGTTGCCTGTGCTGAGAGCTGGGTGCTGGGACCAGCTGGAGCTCTGGAGCTGAGGCTGGAAGGAGCAGCTGAGATACGGGTGCCGGATAAGCTGGTGAGTAAGCTTGGGAGACCGGGAAGACAATGGCAGGCAGCCAGGTCTTGGAGGACATTCTGTTTGAACAGCTCACTCTAAGAAGTTGAGCAAGGGCGTAAACACAGCAAGGGCTGCCTGGGAATGTGCTGAGACGTTTGTGTGAAACTTCAGCAGGAAGCCAGAGCCCTGGAGACAAAAGCCTAGAGATGGCTGGAGCCCCTGCTCCTGATGTTTTAGCCTCAAGGAGTGCTAGTGAGCAGGTCGGGGGGGCGAAGAATTCCAAAGGCACGTTTAAAAAGTTTTCCACTGTACGTGCTGGAATGAAGTGGTGGTTCAGAGGGGGCGGAGCTGGCAAGAAGTGCTTTTCCGGAAGAAGGAGGCCAGCTGGGCGGAGCCCGGGGCAGTGTTTTTCCACTGAAGTTCGTCGTTGCTACGTGTGTAATGCAACGGGACACTTGCGTCGAGATTGCCCCCACCGGAGCAGAGAGGCAAGGCAGGATGTTGCCAGGTTTGCCGAGGTTTTTTCTCATGGGAACCAGCCGGGTTTCCATGGCAACCAGTCTCGGAGAGGAGGCCAGCGTGGGAACGCAAGGGAAGGACGTGGCTCAGACACTGGGGAGGGTTGTTTTCTTATCACTGCTTCTATGGCAACTGTGAAGAACAACTCCAGCCAGGACACGGTGACGCGCTGGGTTTTGGATACTACTGTCAGTCGTCACCTGATAAGCAAGCCTGCTGGCGAAATGCGGAACTGCAGGGCTGTTTCAACTGGAATGACTGTTATGTTCGCTGACAGAAAGCGAAAATCAGTTTCTGATGTGGCTAACATGTTTTTTTCTCCTTTACAGGAGGAGCTAGAGGTCTACGTTGTGCCGGGACTGAATTGTTGTCTATTATCTGTACAAGCTCTTTTGAAGCAGGGGTACAATATTTGCTTTGAAAATGACACCTGTTCCATTTTCAGAGGGGGGAGACAACTGGTCAACGTGAAGAGCAAGGACAATCTCTTTGTTCTGGAGTCACCTCTGGAGGGTGGTGGGAATGCTGGTAAAGCACAGGCGCAGTGTGCTAAGGTTCCCAGTCATGATTCATGTGTTCATGTACGCAAAGGTGCAAAGGTACATGGTTTTCCCGGGTTTGGGAGGGTAGCCAAAGAGCCCTTTGAGCTTGTTCACACAGATCTGTCAGGACCCATGAGGTGTGAGAGTCTGGGTGGAGCCAGGTATGTGCTGTCGCTGACAGATGACCACAGCCAGGTTGGCTGGTGTTTCTCTCTCAAATCACAGGGGGAGGCAGCGCAACTGATCCAGGATTGGGTTGCGGAGGTGAAACTAAAGTTCTCCACCAGGGTGCAAGGGTTCAGGAGCGACCGAGGGTCACAGTTTACTGGGTCTGCTCTGAAGGAGTTTTTCAAGGAAAAGGGAATACGTCACCAGGTGACGGGTGCAAAGTCTCCTCAAGGGAGAGGCGTGGCAGAGCACAGGAGTCAAACACTGGCTGAAGTTGTCAGGGTTTTGCTGTGTGACTCTGGGCTGCCTCAGAGCTTTTGGGGTGAAGCTTGGAAAGCTGCCAACTTTGTTTTTAACAGGTCCTATAACCACGTTATAGGGGAAACACCGTTTTTTCTGTTGCACCGGAAAAAGCCACAGGTGCATTTCTTCCGCGTGTTTGGGTCCAAGGCTTTCGTGCCGGTACCAACAGCTCAGCAGAAGGCAGGTGGTCCAAAGGTTCAGGAAATGATCTTCTGTGGATATGATCCTGCAACCAATGGGTGGAAGTTTGCATACCCAGAGGGTGATCAGACCAAGCTGCTGGTCAGTAAGCATGCTGAGTTCTGTGAACAGGATGGGTGGTCAAGGCCCAGGGATGGTCCTGATTTTCTCTCAGAATGTCTGTCTGATTCTGAGGAGGAAAGGGAGGCAGAGGCTGATCCCGGTGATGGGGACCAGGTCCAGGATCAGGGTTCAGGGCAGGTTTGGGCATCTCCAAAGGTTGTGAAAGGAGTGTCCAGGTGTGAGGCTTCATCTCCGGTTAGCGTAATGGAGAAAGCTCACAGACGGGTTGTCAAGTCAGAGGGGGAAGAGTCTGACGGAGAAGACACAACTGCTGGCCCAAGTGGGTCAGGGGGAAGTTCAGATGAAGCACCCCAGTTTGTGCCCAGGCGTTCATCTCGGGCCACAAAGGGTGTTCCACCTGAGAGGTATCAGGTCACAAGTGCGTGGATTGGTTTCACACAGTGTGATTCTGGGAGTGTTGAAGGGGTTCAACAGGTGCCTGGGAAAGATGCCGGGAAGGGGCACAAGGCAAAGGGAAAGGTGTTGAACTCAAAAAGGTCTTGTCAGAATGTTCGGCAAGAGGGGGTGTGGGGTTTGGAACTTAATAGGTTAAGTTGTTCCCATGATGCCTCAGCATTCTGACGTCAGCTTTCGAAGCTGGGAGGAGTTTCTCTTCTTCCTCTCTGGTTCTTTGAGAGGGAAGGACGCAGTTTGTCATGGCTGCGGTGAGTCCAGGAGTTTTCTGGGGAATGTCGGAATAAAGGACTGAAATAGACAAACCTGGACTCTGTGTGTGTTTGTCGGAAGCTAAATGGAAGCTACGTGACAGTTTTGACGCTGTGCTGACTCTGCTGAGGCGTGACTGAGAGCTCGGGGCAGATCGCGCTGAGTGGAAGCGTGCTGGGCGGCCATAAAGAGCTAATTGGGGATCGCAAATCAATTAGCGGGGGTCACGCTCTAATCAATAAATCGTCACATTCTTGATGTCAGATTTATGTCTGTTTATTCTTTGGCGTAAGGTTTGGCCTGTTTGTCCAATATAGAGAGCTGAAGGACACTGCTGGCATTTGATGGCATACACAATGTTAGACGATGAGCAATTAAATAGTCCCGAGATGGTATGTGTGATGTTGTTGGGGCCAGTAATGGTGTTGTCCGGGTGTATGTGGCAGCAAAGTTGGCATCTGGGTTTATTGCAGGCTCTGGTGCCAGTGTCCGTGTTAGGTCTGGTTGTAGTATTATTGTGGGTTAGGAGCTGTTTAAGATTGGGTGGCTGTCTGTAGGCAATGAAAGGTCTTCCTCCCAGAGCTTGAGAAAGAGAACTGTCATTGTCCAGGAGAGGTTGTAGATCTCTGATGATGTGTTGTACTTTTTTTGACTTGGGAGCTGTATGTGATGACTAGAGGTGTTCTGTTATTTTCTTTTTTGGGTCTGTCTTGCAGCAAGTTCTCTCTGGGTATCAGTCTGGCTCTGCTGATCTGTTGTCTAACTTCATCTGCTGGGTATTTTAGTTCTAAAAAGGTTTGCTGTAGATCTCTTAGGTGAGAGTCTCTGTCTGTAGAATTGGAACAGATACGGCTGTAACGTAGTGCCTGGCTATATACAATGGACTGTTTGGTATGTTTGGGATGGTAGCTAGAGGCATGTAGATATGTTTGTCGGTCAGTAGGTTTACGGTATAAGGTGGTGTCTATGTGCCCATCCTGTATTTTTATAGTAGTGTCCAAAAAATGTATTTCTTGCATAGATTGATTCATTGTTAGGTTGATTGTGGGGTGAAAATCATTGAATTTCTGGTGGAAGGTGTCCAGGGTCTGTTGACCATGTGTCCAGATGATAAAAATATCGTCAATGTATCGCAGGTACAAGAGAGAACTAACCTGTGTGAGTTAGTTGATGTCTTCTAAGGTGTTCACTTCTACTGAAGCTCTTTCCACATTCAATACATTTAAATTGTTTCTCCTCTGTGTGAGTTCGTTGATGTCTTCTAAGTGTTCCACTTCTACAGAAGCTCTTTCCACATTCAATACATTTAAATGGTTTCTCCCCCATGTGAGTTCCTTGGTGTATTCTAAGGTCTCCACTCTTACTGAAGCCCTTTCCAGATGCAATACATTTAAATGGTTTCTCCTCTATGTGAGTTTGTAGATGTCTTCTAAGTGCTCCACTTTCACTGAAGCCCTTTCCACATTCAATACATTTAAATGGTTTCTCCCCTGTGTGAGTTCATTGGTGTCTTCTAAGTGTTTCGTTTTGACTGAAACACTTTGCACATTCAATACATTCAAATGGTGTCTCCCCCGTGTGAGTTTGTTGATGTCTTCTAAGGCTTCCAGTTACACTGAAGCACTTTCCACATTCAATACATTTAAATGGTTTCTCCCCCGTGTGAGTTAGTTGGTGTATTCTAAGTGTTCCACTTTCACTGAAACTCTTTCCACATTCAATACATTTAAATGGTTTATCACCTGTGTGGGTTCATTGGTGCCTTCTAAGGTCTCCACTTCCACTGAAGCTCTTTCCACATTCAGTACATTCAAATGGTTTTCCCGTGTGAGTTCCTTGATGTTTTCTAAGAGTTCTATTTTCCCTGAAGGTCTTTCGATAGTCAGTACATCTAAATGGTTGCTCCCCCGTGTGAGTTCGTTGATGTGTCCTCAGTCTTCCACTGTCATAAAAGCACATCCCACATTCCCTGCATTTAAACTGTTTCTTTGTTCTTCCCAATGAATTCACAGATGGCTCCATAGAATTCTGGCCATCATCTTCCTCACCTGTTTGGGAGTGGGGGGGGGGGGTGCGGGGAGAATCCTGATAAGACTTTCAAGAAAGACAAGAAAGGAACTAAAAAACACGTCAAAAGGCACCTGAATCATGGAAAGAAGCATACATTACACTTATACCAAAAACAGAGACTGAGAAGGACCAGATTAAGAACTACCGCCCTGCCCTATATCATTACTTAATGTGGATTACAAAATTTTTGCAGACATTTTGGCAAAAAGATTGAAGAAAGTGTTGGTGGGAGAGATTCACAAGGACCAGGCTGGCTTTCTTCCAGGAAGACATCTGTCTGACAATGTGAGAAATATAATAGATATTATGGAATTGTTAGAAGCCAATATTAATACTAAGGCAGTATTAATATTTGTGGATGCGGAGAAAGCCTTTGACAATATCTCTTGGAGCTTTATGAAAAAGAATCTACAAGGGATGGGGGTAGGCCAAGGCTTTGAGAATGGTATAGGTGCAATTTACACTGAACAAAAAGCAAAGTTAATTGTAAATAACGTGGTTACTGAAGAATTTCCTACTGAAAAAGGGACACGACAGGGGTGCCCAATATCCCCATTACTTTTTATATCTGTCTTGGAGGTTTTGTTAAATATGATCAGAGGGGTTCAGGTCGGAGCTAAACAATATAAATTGAGGGCTTTTGCAGATGATTTAGTACTAACTTTACAAGAGCCAGACACTAGTACAAAAAGAGTTTTAGAGTTAATTCAAGTATTTGGTGAAGTAGCAGGATTTAAGCTGAATAAGCAAAAAACGAAAGTACTGGAGAAAAATCTAACAGTTGGTGAAAGAGAGAGGTTTCAGAGTGAAACTGGATTAACTGTGGCAAAGAAAGTGAAATACTTGGGGATTAACATGACATCTAAAAATGTGAACTTATTCAAAGACAACTATGAGAAATGTTGGACAGAAGTTAAGAAAGATTTAGAAATATGGTCAAATTTGAGACTTTCCTTGTTAGGCCGAATTGCTGTTATTAAGATGAATGTTTTGCCTAGAATGCTGTTTTTGTTTCAAACATTGCAGGTTGTGGACAAAATGGACTGTTTCAAGAAGTGGCAGAAAGATATACAGTGGTGCCTCGCAAGACGAAATTAATTCGTTCCGCAAGTCTCTTCGTCTTGCGAGTTTTTCGTCTTGCGATGCACGGTTTTCCATAGGAATGCATTGAAAATCAATTAATGCGTTCCTATGGAAACCGCCTTCCCCCGACCTCTTCTGGCGGGCGGCATTTTAAAATCGCCCGGGACAGCGGAGGACTTCTCCGCTGTCCGGGGCGATTTAAAAGCCCCTGGGAAGGCAGGCAGGGGGGACAAAGAGTTTTGCCCCCCGCCTGCCTTCAGAAGAGGTCCAGGACAGGCTTCGCCGACCTCTCCGCAAGCAGCGGGAGCGCTCCTGCTGCTTGCGGAGAGTTGCCAGCACGCCCAGGCTTCACGGCCCCGCCGCCCGGCTTCGGGAGGCTTTCCCGCCCCGCCGCCCGGCATCGGGACGATGCCCCGAAGCCGGGCGGCGGCGGGAGCGTTCGCGCCCGCCGCCCGGCATCGGGACGATGCCCCGATGCCGGGCGGCGGGGAGGCTTCCCGCCCCGCCGCCCGGCATCGGGACGATGCCCCGAGCCGGGCGGCGGGTGGAGCGTTCCCGCCCCGCCGCCCGGCATCGGGACGATGCCCCGAAGCCGGGCGGCAGGGGAGGCTTCCCGCCCCGCCGCCCGGCATCGGGACGATGCCCAGAAGCCGGGCGGCGGGGAGGCTTCCCGCCCCGCCGCCCGGCATCGGGACGATGCCCCGAAGCCGGGCGGCGGGGAGGCGTTCCCGCCCCGCCGCCCGGCATCGGGACGATGCCCCGATGCCGGGCGGCGGGGAGTCTTCCCGCCCCGCCGCCCGGCATCGGGACGATGCCCCGAAGCCGGGCGGCGGGGAGGTGTTCCCGCCCCGCCGCCCGGCATCGGGACGATGCCCCGATGCCGGGCGGCGGGGAGGCTTCCCGCCCCGCCGCCCGGCATCGGGACGATGCCCCGATGCCAGGCAGGGGGGAGGCTTTCCCGCCCCGCCGCCCGGCATCGGGACGATGCCCCGAAGCCGGGCGGCGGGGGGGAGGCGTTCCCGCCCCGCCGCCCGGCATCGGGACGATGCCCCGAAGCCGGGCGGCGGGGAGGCTTCCCGCCCGAGCCGGGCGGCGGGGAGCCGTTCCCGCCTCGCCGCCCGGCATCAGGACGATGCCCCGAAGCCGGGCGGCGGGGGGAGGCTTTCCCGCCCCGCCGCCCGGCTTCAGGGCATCGTCCCGATGCCGGGCGGCGGGGGGAGGCGTTCCCGCCTCGCTGCCCGGCATCGGGGCATCGTTCTGATGACGGGCGGTGGCGGGAGGATTTCCCGCCCCTCCGCCCGGCATCGGGGCATCCTTCCGAAGCCCGGCGGCGGCGGCGGGAGGAGGTGTCCCCGCCCCGCCGCCAGGCTTCGGAGGAGGTCCGAGGACAGTGGGGAAGACGCGCTGCGCTTCCCCGCTGTCCCGGAGATTTCCCTATGGGCTGTCGTCTTGCGAAGCAAGCCCATAGGGAAATTCGTCTTGCGAAGCGCCTCCAAAACGGAAAACCCTTTCGTCTAGCGGGTTTTCCGTCTTGCGAGGCGTTCGTCTTGCGAGGTACCACTGTATCTAGATTTGTCTGGCAGGGTAAAGAGCCCAGAATAAAATTTAAGATATTAACTGACGCAAAAGAAAGAGGGGGGTTTGCCCTGCCGGACTTAAAATTGTATTATGAATCAGCAGCTTTCTGCTGGCTGAAAGACTGGCTACTTCATGAGAACACAGACATTTTAGATTTGGAAGGGTTTAATAACAGGTTTGGTTGGCATGCATATATATGGTATGACAAGGTAAAAACTCACAAAGGTTTTAAAAACCATATTGTCAGGAAAGCACTATATAATGTTTGGATTCGTTATAAAGATCTGTTGGAAAATAAAACCCCTAGGTGGCTGTCGCCAATGGAAGCCAAGGAGGTGAAAAAAATTAATATGGAATCTAAATGGCCAAAATATTGGGAAATTTTAGAACAAGATGGTGAAAAAGTGAAATTACAGAGTTATGAGAAATCGAAGTATAAAGTACGAGACTGGCTCCATTATTACCAAATAATGGAGGTGTATAAACAAGACAGGAAAATTGGCTTCCAGGTGGAGAGATCAAAATTAGAAACAGAATTGTTAGAACCCAATACTAAGAATTTGTTAAGAATGTATAACTTGCTGTTGAAGTGGAATACACAAGATGAAACAGTTAAATCAGCTATGATTAAGTGGGCACAAGTCATTGGTCATGACAGTTATGGACCACCGGTATAAAGTTTACAGCATGTAATGCCTTAAGAGAGAATATCATGAAAATGATTTATAGGTGGTACATGACCCCAGTCAAGCTTGCAAAAATCTATCATTTGCCCAATAATAAATGCTGGAAATGTAATGAGACTGAAGGTACTTTTTATCACCTTTGGTGGACATGCCCAAGGATTAAGGCCTTCTGGGAAATGATCTATAATGAAATTAAGAAGGTTCTTAAATGTACCGTATTTTTCCCTCTATAACACGCAGATTTTTTCTCCTAAAAAGGAAGGAGAAATGTCTGTGCGTGTTATGGAGCGAATGTGTGGTCCCTGGAGCCAAAAAATCAGACAAAAATCAAATCGCGAATCACAGAGAAGGGAAACCTGAAAAGAGGAAGTGGCTGCTTTCCTGCATTCTGCCTCAGGGTCTTACTGCCCACCCTCCTCTGTTTCGTTGCTGTGTTTGCTCAAACGGAACAAAGAGCAGGGAAAGCCCCTCCCCTCCAGGCAAGCAGAGGGGAAAGCAGAGTCGTTCCTTCTAATTCCTCTCTGTGCTCCGGTGCTGCGTCTAGGGACTAGCAGGCAACATGCAGGTGGGGGGGGGGAGAGAGAGAGAGCTGGTTGGTTTGGGTGCTTGGGTGGGGGGAAACTTTTGCCTTTCTTTTCTCCCTCCCGTTAAATCCCTCTCCTGCATTCTTAGCCAGCTGCTTCCCTGCACACCCCTCTCATGCTCCTTTTCCCTTCTTTGTTTTTCCTTCCCTCCCCACTTAAAATGTGGTTACAAAGCATAGATCCACATGGATCCTCAGGATCTTTGCATTGGATCACCCCAAATTCACCCTCAGATCACATAGCATGTCCATGGCTACAGCCTGCCCGCCAAAAATCACACACCCACTGTTGCCTGGGGCTGCAATGGTGCAAAAACGTGGTTAAAAAGCATGGATCCACATGGATCCTCAGGATCTTTGCATTGGGTCACCCCAAATTCAGCATCAGATCACATAGCATGTCCAGGGCTACAGCCTGCCCCCCAAAAATCACGCACCCACTGTTGCCTGGGGCTGCAATGGTGCAAAAACGTGGTTAAAAAGCATGGATCCACATGGATCCTCAGGATCTTTGCATTGGGTCACCCCAAATTCACCATCAGATCACATGTCTGTGGCCACAGCATGAAGCACAAAAATGATACATCCACTGTTTCATTCAGAATGTTTTTTCCCTTGTTTTCCTCCTCTAAAAATGATGTGCGTGTTATGGTCAGGTGCGTGTTATAGAGCGAAAAATATGGTACCTTTCACAAGAAACCAGAGGCTTTTCTCCTGGGCATGGTCGGTCAATTGGTGTCAAGGAGAGATAGGAAGTTTTCTATGTATGCTACTACAGCAGCAAGGGTTCTTTTAGCAAAGTATTGGAAGACACAAGAACTACCCACGCTGGAAGAATGGCAGACGAAGGTGATTGACTACATGGGATTGGCTGAGATGACTGGCAGAATCCGCGACCAAGGAAAAGAGACGGTGGAAGAAGATTGGAAGAAATTTAAAATATATCTCAAGAACTGTTATAAAATTAATGAGTGCTAAAATGTCAAGGGTAATGAAAAAAGAGGATTACAGCTGTAAATGATTAGGTAAGAGAGGAGGGGGGAAAAGAAAATGAGTAATTAGTTAAATTAAGCGAGGGGTTGCTGAAGAAATTTTAAAACAGGGATGCAGAAAGGGGAGGTACGTGGAAGTCAGTGAAGTAAGATTTATGAAAAAAAAGGTTTTGAAATTATACGTGCTTATATGTTTGTTTGTTTATGTATGGTGTATTGTATTGTGTTTGATTTATGTTGGAAAATTAATAAAAATATTTAAAAAAACAACAACACATCAATCCCAATATGCACCGTCTCTTATTTTAACAGTCTCCATTCTCCACTGTCCTCTCTTACGTTCCAAACTTCTAGGAATGTAGATGTGATAATGGCAAGAATGAGACATGATCACTCCATTCACTTAATAAAATGCATTCATGTTATAATTTATGGTGGACCTGGCTTCTTAGACACATCTCTGTACAGTGGTACCTTGGTTTAAGTACTTAATTCGTTCTGGTGGTCCGTACTTAACCTGAAACTGTTCTTAAGCTGAAGCAGCATTTTAGCTAATGGGGCCTTCACCGCCGGAGCACGATTTCTGTTCTCATCCTGAAGCAAAGTTCTTAACCTGAAGCACTATTTCTGGGTGAGCAGAGTCTGTAACCTGAAGCATATGTAACCTGAAGCGTATGTAACCTGAGGTACCACAGTATTTCTCTTTTTCCAGGGAGGAAATGATCACAGGCCCCCCCCCCCCATGCAGTTGTGAAGTCCATAGATTGTTTAATGAGCCAAACGCCTGGGAGAAGAGCAATGCTTTGGCCTGGTGCCTAAAGATAAGGAAGGACACTGAGGTCCTCCTACGAGGTTCTTCTGCCAGTTCTCTCACTGCGAGAAGTGAAGTTTCAGGGCAGGCAGAGGGAGTTCTAGGTAATGGCGCCCTCACTTCCAGCGTCAAAGGGATAAAGAACTACAGAACTTTTAGAAGACATATGGAGGCAGCCTTGTATTGGGAAGTTTTTAACATTTGACATTTTATAGATGTTGTTAGCTGCCCAGAGAGGCTGGTGAAACCTAGCCAGATGGTCGGGATATAAATATCAAAATTATTATTGTTATTATTATTATTTTTATTGCAAACCTGGCCAGCAATGCCCACCCCTCTCCCCTTTCCCGCCTCCTTTCCTGCAACTCCCTTTACACCAGATCCCTGCAGGAGGAAGCTTCTCCCCCCCTTCCCCTTCAAGGCCCCCTTTAAGGAAACAGCTCCCTTTCCTCCCTTCTCTTCTCCCCGCCCGGATCTTGTGCAGGGCCGCCTCTCCCCGTCCCGGGGCTTCTCATCCTGGACCCCCTCGCAAAGCCCCTTCCCTCCTTCCCCGCCACTGGCTTTGCACTCACCCGAAATCCTGGGCAGCGGGGGCAGGAATGGGAGCCCCCGCGTGGGAGGCAGGGAGTGACGCACTTAATTAGGAGGCTTAATTAGGAAGAAGCCCCCTCCTCCGCACGACGCAGCCCCGCTTCCGGCCTCCTTCCCTCCCTCCTTTGCAAGCCCCGATTTTATCTCTGCTGGTGAAGCCGGAAGTGGAGGCAACTCTGAGGAGGAAGGAGAAGTTTCAGTTAAGTTGTGGGTTGACATAGCAGACGACACAGCGATTTCTCCAAAGCAGCTCTTTATTTTGTAAGCTGGAATAGAACTGACTAACAAACAGCTCAGCCGGCCTGCTTTTATAGGCAGCCGGCTGTCAACATTGTAGCAACAATAACCCAGAGTTTCCCGCCTAAACTAACTGACGTGGACCTGAGTGAAAACTATCTACAGACCTGAGTGAAAACTATCTACAGTATCCCCCTGCTGGCCCAGGGTGAAACTTCACTACATAACACCCCTCCCCACCGAGATAAGGCGTTAGTTACAATCGTAATGGTTTCCTTATATACAGCACTACGCGTAATGGTTCAATTAGGCACAAAAGCATATCGGTTACATTTCCCATACTTAGACCAACAGTGATACATGTCCAACAACATAGTCCTTTAAATAAGTTGGGCGCTTGGAAGCCAAGTCCGGAGGGCCACACAGTTCTTGCTGAGGCTGTGGTGCGACCCTAGGTGGTGTTGAAACCAAATCCCCTGGATCCGCTGCTGTGGGTGGAGCCTCCGCAAGTGGAGTGGTCTGAGTCTGTGATAAGTCTGGCAGACCCTCTGTAGTGGCTTGGTTCGGCTCCACGCTGGCAGTTTGCGAGGGAGGTGTAGGTGGAGCCTCGCCATCTGTAAGTGTCTCTTCTGGAGCCACAGGCGCAGTTGGGGGCACCATGGTAGTGTCCAAGTCCCCAACCCTGCGCCTAAGCTGGTCTATGTGCCGGCGCCACAAGCGTCCGTCTTCGAGTGCCACCTGGTACGAGCGAGGTCCAGTGACTCCCACTACTGTGGCTGGCACCCAAGGAATGTCCCCCACATAGTTCCGGGCAAAGACCTGGTTTCCTGGGACAAATGACCGTGGCGTGTTGGCACAGCCTGGGGGTTCAGCCACGGCAAAGTCCGGGTGCAGCCGGTCGAGCGGTGACCTGAGGCGGCGGCCCATAAGCAGTTCAGCAGGACTCCGCCCTGTGGTCGCATGAGGGGTGATGTGTTGCACGAACAAGTATTCAGCGACCCGCTTGTGCCAGTCTCCCCGGTCCAGGCGCACCAGTGCCTCTTTTGCCGAGCGCACCATTCTCTCCGCTTGTCCGTTGCTGGATGGATGAAAGGGTGTCGTTAGGGCATGGCGGATGCCGAGTCCCCAAACGTGCCTGACGTGAACTGTGGTCCGTTGTCGGAGACAAGGACATCAGGACACCCATGCGTTGCAAACAGGCCTCGCAGCACCCGGATGATGGCCTCGGTAGTGGTGGAGGGCATCAGGGCCACCTCCAGCCATTTGGAATAGGCGTCCACCACTACCATAAAGGTCCAGCCGTGAAAGGGGCCAGCCAGATCGATGTGCACCCCCGACCAGGGTGTCTTTGGCATCTCCCAGGTGTGTCCCTTACTTGCCGGTGGTGCAGGCCTCGACTCTTGGCACGCTTGACAGGCGGACACCCAGGCAGTGATGGCATCGTCCATATTAGGCCACCAGACGTAACACCAAGCCAACGCCTTCATTTTGACAATTCCCGGGTGGCCAAGGTGCAGAGCCTCCAGGACGCGCTGACGGAGTCCCTGGGGAATCACGACACGGTCTCCCCACAGCAGACAGCCGCAATGAGCCGAGAGTTCATGTTGTCTGGTTGCAAAGGGCTGGAACTCTGATGCAAAAGGCCCTTGCGGCCACACCCTCCACACCCAGTTGAGCACCCGGCTGATGGTGCAATCCTGGGCAGACGCGGAGGCCACAGTGGCAGCCGATACAGGCACTGCCGGAAGATCCTCAATCAGGAGGAGCGATGAAGCTGGAGCCGGGTCTTCCACAAATGCTGGAAGAGGGCAACGGCTGAGGGCGTCAGCATGGCCCATTGATTTCCCCGGGCGATGGACGAGCCGGTAGTGGTTGGCAGCCAGGAAAACAGTCCATCGCAGCATGCGTGGTGAGAGGACTGGTGGAGTTGGACGATCACCGGTGAGGAGGCCCAGGAGTGGCTTGTGGTCAGTGATGAGGTCAAAAGTCCTGCCATAGAGGTATTCATGGAACCTCTTCATTCCAGCCACAAGTGCCAGTGCCTCCTAGTCGAGCTGGCTGTAATTCCGTTCCGTCGGAGATAGTGTCCTGGAAAAGTAGGCGAGCGGTGCTTCTCTTCCGTCTGGAAAACGGTGACTAAGGACAGCGCCGATTCCAAAAGGTGAGGCGTCGCAGGCAAGGACCAGCGGCCTGGATTCACTGTACTGTACCAGCACACGGTCCAATGAAAGGAGAGCCTTGACCACGTTGAAGGCCGCCGTCTCCCGATGACCCCAGGCCCAAGGCGTCTTTGTGCTAAGGAAGGTGAGGAGGCTCAGCCACTGTGGCTTTGTGGGGCAGGAACATGTTATAAAAGTTCAGCAGCCCCAGGAACGCCTGCAACTCCGTCTTGTTCTTTGGGATGGGGGCCTGCTGGATAGCGCGGATCTTGGATGTGGTTGGGTGGAGGCCGGAGGTGTCGATAAGATAGCCCAGGAACTCTACCTGTGGAACGGCGATCTGGCACTTCTCCCTCTTTACCTTGAGCCCGGCCTCTTGGAACCTGGTCAGCACGGCACGGAGGCGCTCAAACAGCTGCTGGTGTGAGTCTGCGGACACCAAGACGTCATCAAAATATGGTACCACGCCCGGAAGCCCTTGCAGGAGACGCTCCATAAGGCTTTGGAAGATGCCAGAAGCCACACTCACCCCGAACTGCAACCGGCGGCAACGGAATGCCCCTTGGTGGGTGACGATCGTCTGGGCTTCAGCAGTGGCATCATCGACGGGCAGTTGTTGATAGGCTTGGGCAAGGTCCAGCTTAGCGAAGACCTTACCCTCACCCAGGGAATGCAGCAGGTGTTGGACAACAGGAACCGGATAAGCGTGCTGCTGAAGTGCCTTGTTGATCGTGCACTTGTAGTCAGCGCAGATTCTCACCGACCCGTCTGGCTTGACAGGCGTGACGATGGGGGTTTCCCACTTGGCGTGGTCAACCGGCTCCAAAACTCCTTGGGCGATCAGTTTGTCCAGTTGTTCGTCCACCTTAGCCTTGAGAGCAAAGGGAACCCGGCGTGGCTTTAGCTTGATGGGGGCGACTTGTGGATCAAGGCTAAAGGAGATGGGCGTACCTGTATATTGCCCCAAGGTGCCATCAAAAACCTCGGCAAAGTCTTTGACCAGACCCTCAGTCTCTGCATTAGAGATGCAGTTGATGCCGGTGACTTCCAGGCCGAGGGCATCAAACCAGTCTAGCCCTAGGAGGCTTGGCCGCTGACCTTCGACCACCACCAACCGGAGCAGGCCCGAAAAATCCTTGAAGGCGATCCAGAACCGGCCAACGCCTACCACAGGAATGTCGTTTCCCTGGTAGTCTCTCAGGTGTACGCGGTGAGAGTCGAGTTGCCTTTTGGACACTCTGGGCACCAGTCTTTTGATGATGCTCCAAGACACGATGGACAGGGCAGACCCGGTGTCGATCTCCATGTCACATGGAGCTCCTTCAATGAGCACCGTGACGTTCAGCTTGCGTTGCGTAGGCGAGTCAGTTTGGCCAATCGTGGTTCCAGACTGGCAGCGGCAGTTGGTGGGAGCGAAACAACTTTCCTTGGCAGACTGGAGTGAAGACTTGGACTTGCGAGTTGGTGAAGGGGGGGTGTCAGACGGAGCCGATCGGCAGACCTTAGCGATGTGGCCCCTTCTGGAACACTTCCTACAGATGGCGTCTCTGAATCGACACTTGGCACGGGAATGGTTGCCTCCGTAGACGGCACATTCTGGTTGGCCCTTGGACTTCTGTTGGAACTTCCTGTGCTCCCGCTTTGTCTGGTGCACATCATCGTCTTCACTGGAGGATGCTTAATCACTGCTGGCCTCTTCATGATGCACCGGAACTGGCTTCCTATCAAGACACAGGCTGCTGGACTTGCGGATCTCCTGGGCAGAGCGTTCAGCAGCTTCTGAGGCCACAGCCTCCTCAATGGCTTTCTGTAGCATGAGGTCTGGCTTGGCGAGGAGACGCCATTGCAGATAGATGTCCCGGACCCCACAGGCGATTCGATCCATCAGGGCATCGTCTAAGTCTCGGAACTCGCAGTGCATTGCAGCCTGTCGCAGGGCGGTGGTGTAGTTGTTGATTGACTTCCCCTCTGCCTGGTTCCGGTGGTAGAACGCATGGCGGGCAGCAATCTTGGATGGCTTTGGTGCATAGTGGTTGCGGAGCTTCTCTTAGATCGTGTCCCATGGTGTTGCCTGGACTGCTTCAGGCGCAACCAATGCTCGGGCTGTCTCAAACACCTCAGGCCCACAGAGGCTGAGGAATAGGCCCCGCTTCCGCTCCTTTGAGACTTCTGTCAGCTCGTTGGCTTGGAGGTAGCAGTCGAACCAAGCGAGGTAGGAGTCCCATGATTCAGAGGCTGGCGCAAACAGCAGTAGAGGCACAAGTGAAGCCATGATTCTGATGCCGGCGTGAAGGGCGATGGATGGAACACAGTGCTCTAGCCAGAACAGTCAGCTCTGAATTAGTTCTGTCCAGTGATTTCGCTCAGTGGTTTCGCTCTGTGATTCAGCTCAGTTCAGAGGCTGGCCGCATCTGGCTGTGCTCTGATGTCCATCGATCCCATCCTCGTCGCCAGAGTTAAATTGTGGGTTGACATAGCAGATGACACAGCGATTTCTCCAAAGCAGCTCTTTATTTTGTAAGCTGAAATAGAACTGACTAGCAAACAGCTCAGCCGGCCTGCTTTTATAGGCAGCCGGCTGTCAACATTGTAGCAACAACAACCCAGAGTTTCCCGCCTAAACTAACTGACGTGGACCTGAGTGAAAACTATCTACAGTATCCCCCTGCTGGCCCAGGGTGAAACTTCACTACATAACAGTTTGTCTCCACGCTCAGCCTCTTGTCTGTTATTTGATAATTGGGGGAAGGAAAACCTTGCAGCACCCAACCAATGGGAAGGCGAGGGAGGGAACGTGTGCAGAGGGAATATAAGCTCATTCTTTGCCCCAGCTGGACTGTGCCTGCTTTGGAGCCCCGCTTTTGCAAGAATGTATTGTCCTCAATAAACTCTTTACTGCTTCACCAATTTTGTTCAGATGATATTTTAAGGAACTGCACTGTAGAGAGATACTTAGGATGGATTGTGTTTTGGCTTGTGTTATTTTGTTTATATTTATTAATTGAATAAAATTTATTTTAAAAAACCTGCAGAGGGGTTTCCCAAAACAAACAAAAAGAACACCACAGCAAAGAAAAAATTAGAACCCTACTTTAAAACATACAAAAGCTAAAATATTAAAACAGATTAAAATTACTTCCACTTCCTAAGTATCTGGTAAAGGTAAAGGGACCCCTGACCATTGTGGCCGACTCTGGGGTTGCGGCGCTTATCTCGCTTTATTTTCCGAGGGAGCTGGCGTACAGCTTCCAGGTCATGTGCCCAGCATGACCAAGGCGCTTCTGGTGAACCAGAGCAGCGCACGGAAACGCCGTTTACCTTCCCGCTGGAGCAGTACCTATTTATCTACTTGCACTTTGACGTGCTTTTCGGCAAGCCCTAGGCTCTGTGGTTTAACCCACAGCGCCACCCGTGTCCCTGGGTATGCTTGCCTAAACAAGAATGCTTTTAGCAGGTGCTTGAAAAGAGTCTAGCAAAGGCACGTGCTTTATTGTAATAGGCGGGGAGTTCCAAAGTGCAGGTGCTGCCACAGTAAACAATGCAGTGCAGATATTATGTGGAACCTGTAGTAGTGCTTGAAACTACTGAAGGGTAGATTTTATTTATTGTGATTTCACCATGCTCTGTATTATCTGAAAAGGAACATTTATTTAAAAAGCAGGACTGCACAGCAGCAGTCTATTCGCCTGCGAGGCTCATCATGATCAGTGGGACTTATTCCCAAGCAGACGGTGCATAAGATGGACTGCAATCCTATGCACCCCTTGCATCCAACTTGTACCTAAAAATCTGCACAAACCTGCACCAGAGAACTGTAGAGTTGGGAGGTGAGAGCTGTTTCATAGTTCTGCTGGATCTTTTGGAGGCATTTGACACCATCAGCCATAACATCCTTCTGGACCGTCTAGAGGGCCTGGGAGCTAGAGGCACTGTTATACAGTGGTTCCGCTCCTTCCTCTTGGGCCGTGTTCAGAAAATGTTGTTGGGGGTTGAGTGGTGTTGGGGGATGAGTGTTCAGATCCCTGAGCTCTCACTTGTGGGGTGCCTCAGGGTTCCGTCCTCTCCCCATGCTTTTCAACATCTACATGAAGCCGCTGGGAGAGATCAGGGGGTTTGGGCTGGGTGTTCATCAGTATGCGGAAACCCAGCTCCACCTCTCTTTCAAATCAGAACCAGTGAAGATGGTGAAGGTCCTGTGTGAGTGTCTGGAGGCGGTTTGAGGATGGAGGGCAGCTAACATATTAAAGTTGAATGCTGACAAGGCAGGTGTCCTGTTTTGAGGGGACAGGAGGCAGGCAGGTGTGGAGGACTCCCTGGTTCTGAATGGGGTAACTGTGCCCCTAAAGGACCAGGTGCGCAGCCTGGGAGTCATTTTGGACTTGCAGCTGTCAATGGAAGCGCAGGTCAATTCCATGTCCAGGGCAGCTGTTTACGAGCTCCATCTGGTACGCAGGCTGAGACCCTATCCGCCCGCAGACTGTCTTGCCAGACTAGCGCATGCACCAGTTATCTCCCACTTGCACTACTGCAATGCACTCTACGTGGGGCTACCTTTGAAGGTGATCTGGAAACAACAATTAATCCAGAATGTGGCAGCTAGACTGGTGATGGGGTGCAGCCGCCAAGACCACATTACACTGGTATTGAAAGACCAAGATAGGCTCCCATTGCATTTCTGAGCACAAATCAAAGCATTGGTGCTGACCTTTAAGGCGCTAAACGGCCTCGATCCAGTATACCTGAAGTAGAGTCTCCACCTCCATCGTTCTGCCTGGACATGGAGGTCCAGCACCAAGAGCCTTCTGGCAGGTCCCTCACTGTGAGAAGCAAAGTTACAGGGAACCAGATAGAGGGCCTTCTCAGTAGTGGTGCCCTCCCTGTGGAATAACTTCCCACCATATGTCAAAGGAAAAAACAGCCACCAGACTTTAAAAGACATCTGGTGGGCTGCCCTGTTTAGGGAAGCTTTTAATATCTGAAGGACTATTGTATTTCAATATTTTGTTGGAAGCCACCCAGAGTGGCGGGGGAAATCTAGCCAGATGGGCGTGGTGATAAATATTATTATTATTGAAAACCAACACAATTTTTTTTCTGTACATCCAGAGACTTGACAATCATCTTACTTCCCAGGAAATCTGGGAAACCTGAGCGGAAAACTCCATACATTTATATGGTTTCCCACCTGTGTGAATTATCTTATGAATATTAAGGTCTCCACTCCCTCTGAAGCTTTTTCCACATTTCATAAATCTGGTTTTTCCCATTTGAGTTAGCAGAAGTTTCCTAAGGTTCCATATTGACTTAAGCTACTCCCCTTTGGGAGTTTGCCAGTGTAATGTAAGTTTATCCTCCCTGTTGAAGCTCGTCCCACATTCAATACGTTCCAATGGTTTCTCCCCCGTATAAGTTAGTTGGTGTATTCTAACACATGTGATAAGGCTACACAGGAAGGTATTGAGTAATAAAAGACTGGGCCATGAATTTATTTCATCAGACAAAGTTAAAAAAAGAGGAGTAGTAATTTATGCCTATCACCAAAATTTATATTTAAAGATGACCAAGGAAGATTTGTTGCAATTGAAATTCAATCACAAGGAGAGAAATTTTTGATAGTAGGCATCTATGCACCAAACGAGGGGAAATCGGAATTTTTTAAGAAGTTACATGAGACTCTGATGGACCATATGGATTACAATATGATTTTGATGGGGGACATGGAGTGGTGACTACAAATATGGACAAGGCACAGAGACAGGTAGTTACTAAGTATGGTAGACTACCAAAAACTTGTTTTGACATGACTGACAATATGGATTTAGTTGACATTTGGAGAACGAAGAACCCCTTGGGAAGAGAGGGAACTTTCTTCTCTGAGGCCAAAATGACATGGACAAGAATTGACCAAATTTGGGTAACTAGAGGGCTGGCTCCGAAGACTAGAAAAGTGGAAATCTGCCCTAAAACTTGCTCCGACCACAATGCTGTGAAGATGGAAATGAAACTAACACCAATTGGTTCCTTTAGATGGAGGATGAATGACACTTTGTTTAGGAACGAAGATGTGACTAAGAAGGCCCAAAAAACCTTGAGGGACTACTTTGAGATAAATATGAACACCACTGTTGAAAAAGAGTAATCTGGGATGCAAGTAAAGCAGCTATGAGAGGATTTTTGATACAACAGAATGCAATTAAGAAGAGAGCGCAAAATGAAAAATAAAGATAAGATTTTGGAGAAAATAAAGGAAGGAGAGAAGAAACTGAGAGTGAAACCAAAGTCACAGGAGATTCTGAAAGAGATAAAGTTATATCAAGTACAATATATGAAAATGATGAACCAGGAAATAGATTGGAAAATTAAACAGATGAGACAAAAACTCAATACCATTACGAATTTGGAAGTGGAGGGAAATAATATACAGAATCCAGTGGAGATCAGGAAGTGCTTTCAGAGGTACTTTAAACAACTATATACACAGGAGACGCAGAAAGAAATGGACATTGATCGTTTTTTGAAAATAAATGGACTACAAAAAAATCTCTCAAGAAAATAAGCTAATGTTGAATTACAAAATAACGGAGCAGGAGGTAGAAGGGGCCAATCAGAACATGCAATTAGGCAAATCTCCAGGGCCGGATGGTTTGACTTCAAGATATTATAGATCCTTGAAAGAATGGTTAGTACAACCTTTAAAGAAAGTTTGCAATGAAATATTGGAAGGGAAAAAGGCACCAGAGTTGTGGAAGGAAGCTTATATTACACTTATACCGAAAACAGAGTCTGAGAAGGCACAGCTTAAGAACTACCGCCCCATATCTTTGCTCAATGTGGATTATAAAATTTTTGCAGATATCATAACTAAAAGACTAAAAAAGGTTTTAGTAGAAGAAATACATAAAGATCAAGTGGGCTTTCTCCCGGGCAGGCACTTGTCTGACAATACGAGGAATATAATTAACATTTTAGAAAAATTACAAGTGAATATTAACACCAAAGCAGTTTTGATATTTGTGGACGCGGAGAAAGCCTTTGACAATATTTCCTGGAGTTTTATGAAGAAGAATTTACAGGGGATGGGGGTTGGCCAAGGTTTTGGAAATGGTATAGGTGCAATCTATTCAGAACAAAAGGCTAAATTAATTGTCAACAATGTGGTGACGGAAGAATTTAAGTTAGAGAAAGGAACACGACAAGGTTGCCCAATTTCTCCTTTGCTTTTTATATCGGTCCTGGAGGCCCTTTTAAATATGATTAGAAGGGATCCATTGGTTAAAGGTATACAAGTCGGAGCTAAACAGTACAAATTGAAAGCATTTGCCAATGATCTGGTATTGACATTACAGGAGCCAGAATCTAAAGTTCCAAAAGAGTATTGGAACTGATTCAAGAATTTGGTCAGGTAGCGGGATTTAAGTTGAATAAGATGAAAACAAGATTACCATAATAAAGGACAAAAGTGGTAAGGACCTAACAGAAGCAGAAGACATCAAGAAGAGGTGGCAAGAATACACAGAGGAATTATACCAGAAAGATATGGATGTCTCGTACACCCCAGGTAGTGTGGTTGCTGACCTTGAGCCAGACATCCTGGAAAGTGAAGTCAAACGGGCCTTAGAAAGCACTGCAAATAACAAGGCCAGTGGAAGTGATGGTATTCCAGCTGAACTATTTAAAATTTTAAAAGATGATGCTGTTAAGGTGCTACACTCAATATGCCAGCAAATTTGGAAAACTCAGCAGTGGCCAGAAGATTGGAGAAGATCAGTCTACATCCCAATCCCAAAGAAGGGCAGTGCCAAAGAATGCTCCAACTACCGCACAATTGCACTCATTTCACACGCTAGCAAGGTTATGCTTAAAATTCTACAAGGAAGGCTCAAGCAGTGTGTGGACCGAGAACTCCCAGAAGTGCAAGCTGGATTTAGAAGAGGCAGAGGAACCAGAGACCAAATTGCAAACATGCGCTGGATTATGGAGAAAGCTACAGAGTTCCAGAAAGACATCTACTTCTGCTTCATTGACTATGCAAAAGCCTTTGACTGTGTCGACCACAGCAAACTATGGCAAGTTCTTAAAGAAATGGGAGTGCCTGATCACCTCATCTGTCTCCTGAGAAATCTCTATGTGGGACAAGAAGCTACAGTTAGAACTGGATATGGAACAACTGATTGGTTCAAAATTGGGAAAGGAGTACGACAAGGCTGTATTTTGTCTCCCTGCTTATTTAATTTATATGCAGAATACATCATGCGAAAGGCTGGGCTGGATGAATCCCAAGCTGGAATTAAGATTGCCGGAAGAAATATCAACAACCTCAGATATGCAGATGACACAACCTTGATGGCAGAAAGTGAGGAGGAATTAAAGAACCTTTTAATGAGGGTGAAAGAGGAGAGCGCAAAATATGGTCTGAAGCTCAACATCAAAAAAACGAAGATCATGGCCACTGGTCCCATCACCTCCTGGCAAATAGAAGTTGAAGAAATGGAGGCAGTGAGAGATTTTACTTTCTTGGGCTCCATGATCACTGCAGATGGTGACAGCAGCCACGAAATTAAAAGACGCCTGCTTCATGGGAGAAGGGAATGACAGGCCTAGACAGCATCTTGAGAAGTAGAGACGTCACCTTGCCAACAAAGGTCCGTATAGTTAAAGCCATGGTTTTCCCAGTAGTGATGTATGGAAGTGAGAGCTGGACCATAAAGAAGGCTGATCGCCGAAGAATTGATGCTTTTGAATTATGGTGCTGGAGAAGACTCTTGAGAGTCCCATGGACTGCAAGAAGATCAAACGCATCCATTCTTAAGGAAATCAGCCCTGAGTGCTCACTGGAAGGACAGATCGTGAAGCTGAGGCTCCAGTACTTTGGCCACCTCATGAGAAGAGAAGACTCCCTGGAGAAGACACTGATGCTGGGAAAGATGGGGGGCACAAGGAGAAGGGGGCGACAGAGGACGAGATGGTTGGATAGTGTTTTCAAGGTTACCAGCATGAGTTTGACCAAACTGCGGGAAGTAGTGGAGGACAGAGGTGCCTGGCGTGTTCTGGTCCATGGGGTCACGAAGAGTCGGACACGACTAAACGACTAAACAACAACAAGGTTTTAGAGAAAAATCTAACAGTGATTGAGAGAGAGAGGTTTCAGAAGGAGACAAGATTAACACTGGTTAAGAAAGTGAAATACCTAGGGGTTAATATGACTGCCAAGAATAAATAATAATAATAATAATAATAATAATAATAATAATAATAAATTTTATTTATATCCCGCCCTCCCCAGCCGAAGCCGGGCTCAGGGCGGCTAACAACAATCAAATAATCAAACAGTCAAATAATCACACATTCTAAAAATATTTCATTATAAAAATTAATTAAAATCAAATTGATGGCAACCGATTAAGCAAAATTCTGTGCGGGTTGCCAGAGGAGGGAGTCAGGCTGCACCCTGACCAAAGGCCTGGTGGAACAGCTCTGTCTTGTAAATTTATTTAAAGACAATTATGAAAAATGCTGGGTGGAAGTGAAAAAGGATTTAGAAATATGATCAAATTTGAAGTTATCATTGCTAGGCCGGATTGCTGTGATAAAAATGAATGTATTGCCAAGGATGCTGTTTTTGTTTCAAACATTGCAAATTGTGGATAAAATGGATTGTTTCAAGAAGTGGCAGAGAGATATTTCTAGATTTGTCTGGCAGGGCAAGAAGCCTCAAATAAAATTTAAGATATTAACTGATGCTAAAGAAACAGGTGGATTTGGACTTCCGGGTTAGCACCATCGGCGAATGGCGGAGTTCCTCCGACCGGAGGAATGGGCTCCGTGGAAACTGGGTCTTCCCACTGCGGCGAAGGTGGGGACCCGCTAGAAACCCCAGGTGGAGAAGCCTGGGGACATGGGGTTCGGCAGAGCACCAAGAGCGCCTCCCCTACTCGCAAGGAAACCCCCTTTTGGGGCTCCGGAGCAAAGTGGGACGAGCAGCGCGGTGCAGCGGACCGATTGCTATTTTCACGGAGGGAAGCCGCACAGCCATCGCTGGAGAGCGCTGACTTTTTCCTGATGACATTTGGACTCTAAACAAGTACCGGTGAGTAAAAACGGAAGATTTGACTAAGGAAAAATCTTTGAATTAGGTAACGAAGCGGGAAGGTCTAAACAGGAAGTCCGCCTTCCGCTTTTTGTAATCAGACTGAAGCAAAGATCGTACAAGCTAAATAGCCTGGAATTTGATCTTAAGATTGAAATTTCCTGCACCCATGACCACCAAAACCCTCTTGACAACAGGAGGAAGGGGGGGGGAAGAACTTTGACCGTCTAACCCTGCAGAAAGAGAGTAAAGGAATATAAATTTCCAACGTCCCAAACCCGGGGACGGGACGTCAGGACAGTAATCTTTGAAGAAAACGGAATATTCTTGGACAGATAGAAATAAAAGAGAAACAAATTAACTTTAATGTTGCTCTCTGCTTTTTTGTATTGTAAGGAAACAAAGTACTAGAAAATTGAAAGTAAATTTTCCTTTGTTGGATACATTTTAAAGATGGGCGTTAAATAGAAACTGTGTCCCCTAGAGGGAGCTTGTCAATTTTTTTGCTGCAGTCCACAGGGAGACATAACAGCTGTGAGAATCAGCGTGGGACCAGATACTTGACCTTGAACAGAAATGAGCAGGGAGGAAATTCCACCTTCTGCCCTTGGCAAAGTGAATGCTTTGCTGCAGCACTGCATGAGGATATGAACTTGATGAATGAAAAGCTGGATTTTATGGCTGCTGTAGCCAGAAAGTATGAACTGACAGGAAAAGAAGAGAAAGAAACTTCACTACAACCAATTCAGGAAACTGACTCAAGGCAAGTCCAAGGGCAGTGGAAGATGGAAGAGGTTGCGATTGCACCTCAAAAGTTACAAAGGGAGAGATCTAAAGTCATCGAACTTGAAGAGTGTCTGCAAGTTTTTGGAGTTATGGAAATTCTTAGCTCTAGTGGGACTGTGAAACAAAATGATAAGTATCTCTGGAACAACTATTGCTTGGATTACAAAATCAGCATAGGGGAGTGGGACTGTGGGGAATGGAACAACTTGATGAAAGAAAATGGAGACTACGACTGCATGGAATTCCCCAGAGACCCACTCCCCAAGGAGAAAGGGAAGAAACTACGAAAGAATTCAACAAGGGACAAGGAAGTGTCTTATCATAAACAGGAACAAGAAAACCAGCAGAGGGGACATGGAAGTGAC